TCCCATAGTGAAACACCTCACTCTGTTATCAAAGAACCCGGGATTACGTTAAGTAACCCATCGTTGTGATTAGTCACTTTAAATGTGAAATATGTTAACTACTTATAAATGATAAACTAACCACCCAAGGGAAATAAATCAAAATGTATTTAAAATATGTTTGTTTATACTACAAATCCATTAACATTTACAGATATATCGCTTGATACTGATATTAATATTACAATTAAACTTTATTTGGAGTATATTAATATATGTTAATATTAATCCTAAAATGTGTTTAATATCACTATCAGTAAGAATAGCATGCTCTCTGTATAATGCAAGATATTAAAAGTTTAACTAAAGTATATTTGCAATAGTTCCACTTTAACACAATCAAATATACTTCAGGATATCTTTAGTTGAATCTCAGCACTATTTCTGGATTATTAAAGTACATTAAGTGCAAAATTAGTTCCAATGTAATAGACTTTATGCAAATTTACTATACCAACAGTACAACTGCAGGGTATTAATATTAAGTACATAAATATGTAAATGTATTTGTAGTATACTTAGCATAAAATAAATGTATTTCAAGTACATTTTAGTATATTTATTTTTCACTACAGCATGCCAGGCAAATAAACCAACAATTACAGCTACACTGGATCTGTGTGAAACAAAGGAATTAACCATCATTGGGATTATGACATGTATACTTATCATATAAATACATAAATGGTAACAAAATATTGATCTGAGTTGAATTGCTTTTATTATGTGAGAGAAACGAGTGCGCCGAGAGCAGCGAAGGCGTGTAGAAGAGAAACGTACAGTGAAATATAGAGTTTCAAATTGTTGTTGTGTCACACTTCCCATAAACCCTGATGCACTCGTTACATCATAATATAAGAAAAATGTCCGGAAGCGATAAAAAAATTCTGTATTATGAATTTTTAAGGCCAGACAGGAAGTTTGTTGAGGTCAATTTGTAGAGAAAAACTACACGCCTGCGCCATAGCTGTCAACATTGAACATCCCGGAATCCATCCCCAAAATAAGGGATTTTTTTTTACATGATTCTTACCCACAAACTTAAAAAAAGCACTAATCATTAACAGTCTAAAGAGTTTATAACTACATGTGTGTGTGTGTGTGTGTGTGAGAGAGAGAGAGAGGTAGAGAGAGACAGTGTGTGTGTGTGTGTGTGAGTGAGTGAGAGGTAGAGAGAGACAGTGTGTGTGTGTGTGTGTGTGTGTGAGAGAGAGAGAGAGAGAGAGAGAGAGAGAGAGAGACAGTGTGTGTGAGAAATACAGTGTGTGTGTGTGTGTGTGTGTGTGTGTGTGTGTGTGTGAGTGAGTGAGTGAGAGAGAGGTAGAGAGAGACAGTGTGTGTGTGTGTGTGTGTGTGAGAGAGAGAGTGAGAGAGAAGTAGAGAGAGACAGTGTGTGTGTGTGTGTGTGTGTGTGTGTGTGTGTGTGTGTGTGTGTGTGTGTGTGTGTGTGTGTGTGTGTGTGTGTGTGTGTGTGTGTGTGTGTGAGAGAGTGAGAGAGAGGTAAAGAGAGACAGTGTGTGTGTGTGTGTTAGGGGTGTGACGACGGTTATTATATAACCGTGAGACCGATGGTTATAGTTGAACACCGTCATTAGAACTCTATAACCGCCAAAACCGTGCTATTAAAGGGGTCATATAATGGTACATGCACTTTTACAAGTTGATTGTACTGAAATGTGTGTTAGCAGTGCCTGTACACAACCATCATATAATGATAAAAATCCATCCAGTGGTTTTGTTTTAATCTCCTTATATGTTTTCCCCTGCCTCAAATCGAGCTGTTCGTTTTTGTGACGTCAATAAAACGGACGCCCCTCCCACGATTGTTGATTGACGGGAGCGTTTCAACACAGACCCGCCCTCGCACATGAGGTAGCTGTCAATCATAGTCTGCGCGGACCGGCGCGCTCATTGTTGATGTGCTGGAGCACTGTCTATGAGCAGAATGGCTCTAAGCGATTGTGGTGTTCTGTTCTTGGGTGCAATAACGAACACAGCAGTCATTTTAATGTTCCTGAATCCGAACCGCTGAAGACGCAGTGGCTGAGTTTTGTTTTCGAAGGGAATATTCCCCACGAGCAACGTCAATGCTCTCATGTTTGAGCGAATCATTTCTCAGCAGACTGCTTTAAACGAGGGTCAGTATAAAGCTGGTTTTGCTAAGAAGCTGCTCATGAAAAAAGGATCGGTACCAGATATTCGTGTTCCTGCTGAACCTCCAGAAGAACGGAAGTGAGTGTAACGTTTTATTAAACTTTATATTAATATATTAATCTTTGCAAATCGCTAGCTGCACGCTTCACAATGAATGCGTCTAAGGTTTACACTCAGGGTACATTACGGCATGTTTTCTATGTATGACGTTCTCAATATAATTCATAATTCCACGTTACAAACGTGTACGCACAGAACAGAGGGGCGGAGTGAGCACAGCTCATTATCATTTAAAGGCATATGCACTGAAACGGCGTGCTGAAAACAGAGCTGTTTTTGACCAGGTAAAATAAGTGTTTTCTTACAATACTAATGAGAATTTTTAATTAAAGTATATTACAAACTTTTAATTTAGACCCTAAAGAATCATATTAGCTTGTACAAAAATGGCATTATATGACCCCTTTAAAATATTTTTTTACAAACATTTTTTTATCATAGAGATCTGTGTAAATACTAATATCAGCTTACGAGGGAAACGGAGTTAGTGGTGCTTCGGAGGCTGAGTGCTGGAGATGATTCGGGAGAGGTCTGTGCCCCTTTACCGATCAGAGCGCGCGCTGACACAGAGTAAAGCCTTGTTTATACTCGACGCGTCCGCACGAGCGCAAAGGTGCGCGCGGCAAAAATGACGTTGGGTGCGCAAGACCGAGTACGCTACTTTACTGGAGGTCTAGCAACCCAAGTGCAAGCCACACAGATAGTTGCGTGTTCTGAGTTAACACAATCAGAGCGTAAAAATACAGGATATTTTACGGGAAAATACTAAAACGGGGAGAACAGCGTCTACACTGCCGGGAAGAAATAAGACGAGGAAGATGCAAGGCAAGATGAATGTAGAGCTGCTGGTCTCGTTGCTGTCGGAACATAAAGAACTATATGACAAACTTGCTCTCTTCTTCTGAGTGACAAGCGAGTGTCAGAAGCGTAAAGTTGCGCAGCGCCACCTTGTGTACCGGAGTATTTCTGTTTTACATTAAAGGTGACCTATAATTCAAAATTGAATTTACCTTGGTATAGTCAAATAACAAGAGTTCAGTGCATGGACATGACATAGAGTGAATCTCAAACTGGACTGTTTTCGCGTTCTCATTTAATTCACGTTTATGAAAAACACCCCTGAAAAACGGTCGGTTCTCCACACAATACCGACTGTGACGCAATAGTCGGGATCATTAATATGTACGCCTCCAAATATTTGCATAATGCCAGCCCTCAATGCCAGGCGGAGCTGCGCAGCCGAAGCATGGCAGTTGCTCAGTGTGGATGTACACATGAACACAAAAGTATTTTTTAGTTCCTTCATCTGAGCCTCTGAAGAAACAATGGGTTAATTTTATTTTCTCTGGAAATTTCCAAACATTTCACCGAGTGTTTCCTCAACTTGGCTGGCCTCGGATCGAGCTACCAAGCAACACTTTCTGATGTGTAATTGTTCAAGTTCAGACAGGTAATCTTTCTCTCAAAATCGTTCAATACTGTTTATGCATCAGTAAGTCAAGCCAGTGACTAAAATATCAGCTTCACATCGTTTCTTTTAGTAGGATGAAAATAATCGTATTTAAATTGTGAACAAATTATATCCAGAAAGCGATCAAAGAACAATCTTTCCACACAGCGCGAGTTTATCTGGACACTTGCCAAACTCGTTATGAAATCAATGACGCACGTTACTGCACAACGAAGCTCTTACTGTATTTACATCATCGTGTTTGCATTGGTGAAAGCAGAGAGAGTGCAGAAACTGCTTTGCAATGATAAGATCTTCATTCTCGCGATCAACACACTGTCATCTGCTCAATGCTCATCACGGCAACATTTTATGTGATGGGAATAGATCTAAATACTTTAAAAACATCTCACGATTCGTTAATCTCGATAGCTGTTATAGTAAAAACGTATAATAGCTGTAGTAAAAGTATTCGAGAGAGTTTCACATGTAATGCGTAGCTATTTCATATGCAACCATGTCAGCCAATCACAGCAGTGGCCGCGGTTACACTGAATCCCACAGCAGACACGCCCCTTCAAACAGAGTGTTCAAATCAGAAGCTAAAAGCAGGCTAGGAAAAATGCCATTTATTTCTAAATTATGATTATTTTTTATCTAAAAAACATACTAACATTATAAGGGTAACCCAGGAAACATTATAAAATAATTAAAAAAAACATTCTAGGGCACCTTTAAGTGCCATCTAATGTCAGGGAATGAATTGGCATGTTCACTCGGCTCATCGTCAGCGAAAATCGCTTGGGTGTAAAGACAAAAAACGCGTTAAACGCTGGCGAATAACGCGCGCCGATATTCGTCCCGGTGTGTACGGCCCTTTAAGCTGCTTTGAAACAATCTATATTGTTAAAAGTGCTGTATACAGGTAAAACTCGAACAATTAGAATATCGTGCAAAAGTTCATTTATTTCAGTAATTCCACTTAAAAGGTGAAATTAATATATCATATAGACTCATTACATGCAAAGTGAGATATTTCAAGCCTTTATTTGTTATAATTGTGATGATTATGACTTACAGCTTATGAAAACCCCAAATTCAAAATTAGAATATTGTGAAAAGGTTTTCATAAGCCATAATCCCAATTATAACTAATAAAGGCTTGAAATATCTCACTTTGCATGTAATGAGTCTATATAATATATTAGTTTCACCTTTTAAGTTGAATCACTGAAATAAATGAACTTTTGCACGATATGTTTGGAGTGTGACCTGTAAGTGAAGGAGATAGACTGACCTTGAGTCCTTTGGCTCTGTTGATGGCTCTCAGCGGGCGAAGCACACGCAGAATCCTCAAGATCTTCACCACTGAAATGGCCGACGACCTGCAGATAAAGCGCACGTTGAACACGAGCGCATGCGGTGACCGACTCACACGTGCTGGAGGACATGAACGTACTGTATCCCGAAGGACAGGAGAGACACTCCGACCACCAGCAGATCCAGCAGATTAAAGTAGTTCCTGCAGAACGCTCCTTTATGAAGGAAAGCGCCGAACGCCGTCATCTGAGGAACACAACACACACCAGTGAACTAAACACAGCACACACCAGTGAACTAAACACAACACACACCAGTGAACTAAACACAGCACACACCAGTGAACTAAACACAGCACACACCAGTGAACTAAACACAGCACACACCAGTGAACTAAACACAGCACACACCAGTGAACTAAACACAGCACACACCAGTGAACTAAACACAGCACACACCAGTGAACTAAACACAGCACACACCAGTGAACTAAACACAGCACACACCAGTGAACTAAACACAGCACACACCAGTGAACTAAACACAGCACACACCAGTGAACTAAACACAACACACACCAGTGAACTAAACACAGCACACACCAGTGAACTAAACACAGCACACACCAGTGAACTAAACACAGCACACACCAGTGAACTAAACACAACACACACCAGTGAACTAAACACAACACACACCAGTGAACTAAACACTCTCAGCGGGTTTGTGTTTAGTTCACTGGTGTGTGCTGTGTTTAGTTCACTGGTGTGTGTTGTGTTTAGTTCACTGGTGTGTGCTGTGTTTAGTTCACTGGTGTGTGCTGTGTTTAACTAAACAAGCACATTTCAGTGGTAACACTTTACAATAAGGTTCATTAGTTAACATTGGGTTAGTTCACCCCAAAATGTAAACTCTGTCAGTAATGACTCTCCCTCATGTTGTTCCAACCCCGTCAGACTTTCGTTCATCTTCAGAACACAAATTAAGATATTTCTGATTAAATCTGAGGGCTGGATCACTCCTCCATAGGCTTCTAAGGGATCGAAACTGGCCGGCCCAGAAAAGTTATTAAGTTTATCAAGCGACGAGAATACTTTTTGTGCGGAAAAAACAAACAAAAATAACGACTTTATTCAACTATTCATGTTCTTCTCTGTGGGCCTCGAGAGAGTTCACGCAGTGTAACAGCGCAGCGCTTCTGTGTTGTACGTCACATGCAGGCTCACTATTGGTCGACGCTGGTCATGTGTGTGTGTGTGTGTGACGTACAACCCAGAAGCGCTGCGCTGTTACACAATGTGAACTCACTCGAGGCCCACAGAGAAGAACATGAAGAGTTGAATAAAGTCATTATTTTTGTTTGTTTTTTGCGCACAAAAAGTATTCTCGTCGCTTGATAAACTTGAGCCACTGTAGTCACTCGGATTATTTTAACAATGTCTTTAATAACTTTTCTGGGCCGGCCAGTTTCGATCCCTTAACCCTCTGGGGACGGATTGGGTGGTACCGCCCAAAATGGCATACTTTTAAAAATGTGTAAATATCTTAAAAACTATTAATGATAGAGAGGTGCGGTCTTTTTCACCGTCTTCCTCAGATTCCGCTGAAAACAGTGATAACTTACCCGGCTTGTAAATATACACACTTCCTTGTTGCGCAATACCACTATGCAAAAGGCCAATGAAATCGATGTTGTTTGGCAGATTCCGCAAGCAACAACCAATGGAAAAATTGCCGATGGAGAAATATTTTTCTTACCCAATCAGAGGAAGGTTACCATGATGTTTCTAGCAAATCAGAGGACTCTGTAGCCTTGCAAGGGGTGGTACTATATATTTAGGGATATGACGCAAACAGCGTTGAATGGAGAGAAGGAGAGAGAGCGAACGGAGGCTTACGGAGCGGATTATCAGAGATTTATGAGAGAGAGACAGAACAATTATTATTATATATATATACATACAATTATATCATTATTTATTGTTTTAGCACTTTTATGATGGCAAGCAGTAAAGATTTACGGTGGAACAAGCTCTGGAACAATTACTGGAGAGTGACGAGGAGAAAGCATTGCTTAGAAAATTCTAAGCATTCCTAAGAAAAACACCTGGGACTATTTGTAAATAAAGTTAAATTTTTCATTGTTCTTTACACATTTTATTTGCCAATTACACATGTCTGTCAAGCAAAGGCTTTGACAAATATATTTTTTGTTCAAAAACTGTTCACTATTGTTGTGTGATGTGTGATTTTCAGAAATAAATGACAAAAATCTAATTTCCGTTTTTGAAATTCTCTAGTTTATTGTACATTTTTTACTCATACTTCCTTTATAAACTCATTACATGCATGCTTATGTTAGCTTAGGGTCTTCTGAATCCATAGATACCAAACACATAGTGTTCCATCTCCATTACATATGGTTTATGAGGCCAAATGTAAAAATAGAGAAAACAGACCAAAAAGGGCTTAGTCCCCAGAGGGTTAAGAAGCCTATGGAGGAGTGATCCAGCCCTCAGATTTAATCAGAAATATCTTAATTTGTGTTCTGAAGATGAACGAAAGTCTTACGGGGTTGAACAACATGAGGGAGAGTAATTACTGACAGAGTTTACATTTTGGGGTGAACTATCCCTTTAATGTATTAACTAACATGAACTAACCATGAGCAATACGTTTGTTACAGTGTTTATTAATCTTTGTTAATGTAAGTTAATAAAAATACAGCTGTTCATTGTTAGTTCATGTTAGTTAACTAATGTTAACAAGATTTGAATAAAGTATCAGTTAATGTTGAAATTAACATTGACAAAGATGAATAAATGCTGTATAAGTGCGGTTCATTATTAGTTCATGCTAACTAATGTAGGTAACTAATGTTAACTAACGAACCTTATTGTTAACTGGGACCATTTCATTTTACACATTTATATCAAGTGCAATCATACAGTAAAAGCAAGAGTAGAAATTAAAGGGAGTTGCAAATTCCTGTCCAACTCAACAATCACAAATAAGAAATGAACTAGTGAAGCATAATCTGGAATAAGTGAGAGGGTTATAATCATGGTGTGTAGAATGCAAATAGAAATAAGACAGGAGTCTTTACCTTCAACAAGATCTCCACTGTAAAGATAGCGGTGAAGGCGTAGTCTAAATAACCGAGAACCTGCAACGGACACAAGAAACTCAATCCAGTGGAAAGAATCCACAACAGAGTCAGTTCAAGTCTATTTGATTTCTACAGCGCCTCTATAATCCTTGAAGTTTCACAGCATTCATGTCTTTAGGCCCATTTAAATTAACAGACAAATGAAAAAATGGCAGGAAGTTGTAAAACAATGAATCTGCATGTGAAGCGTATTGTGAAATCCTGTTTATATGAAATAAGGTAAAACTATTTCTAAACTCCACTTCAGACATTCTGCTGACTATAAGTAACTTTACACCTACATGTCAACTAGCTCTCAGTAGAGTATTAGTAGAGTATTAGTAGAGTATTAGTAGAAATGTCTGCTTTATGTTGATGCTCCTCAACAGACTATAAGTAACTTTGCAACTGGTGAAACTCGAAAAATGAGAATATCGTGCAAAAGTTCATTTATTTCAGTGATTCAACTTAAAAGGTGAAACTAATATATTATATAGACTCATTACATGCAAAGTGAGATATTTAAAGCCTTTATTTGTTATAATAGGCTTGAAATATCTCACTTTGCATGTAATGAGTCTATATAATATATTAGTTTCACCTTTTAAGTTGAATTACTGAAATAAATGAACTTTTGTACGATATTCTAATTTTTCGAGTATCACCTGAACACTACCAGTCAAAAGATGTTTGATGTTTTTGGGGTCAGTAAGAATGTTTATTTTATTTTCCGGGGAAAGAAATAAAACAAATCAATACTTTTATTCATCAAGGATGAATTAAATTGATCAAAAGTTACATTAAAGACATTTATAATGTTACAAAAGAGTATTTAAAATAAATGCTGTTCTTTTGAACTTTCTATTCATCAAAGAATCCTGAAATAAAAATGTAAATAACTGTTTTTAACATTGATAATAATCACAAATGTTTTGATCATCAAATCATCATATTAGAGTGATTTCTGAAGGATCATGTGACACTGAAGACTGGAGTAATGATGCTGGAAATTCAGCTTTGATCACAGGGATAAATTACACTTTACTATATATTCACATAGAAAACAGCTGTTTTACATTAATAAAATTTCACAATTTTTATTTTTAATCAATTAAATGCAGCCCGGTGAGCAGACTAGACTTCTTTAAAAAAGCTTACAAATCTTACCGATCCAAAACTAATAAGTCTACTAATACTCTAATGAGAGTTAAGTTGAATGTCTAAAGTGGACTATCGAAATCTGAAACCTGAAATAATCACTCCGTCAAATGTGATAATAAAGAAAATGAGGTAACAAATCACACTAGTTCATAAATGTAACTGATGCTGCATAATTAGAAAGAAATGTCCATATTAGTCTATTATTTGTGTGTTTTATCCTGTTTAAAGAGCAGGTGATGTGGTGTTTTGACTGTGGGGTTTTTCTCGGTGGTCTTACGATGTTTCGGGCAGAGAAGTTTCGGATGGGGTCCTCGGCGGCCAGCGAGACCGAGCTCAGCATGATGAAGATGAGGATGAGGTTGGTGAAGATCTGATGATTGATGAGCCGATGGCACGCCACACGGATCCTGCGTTACAGACCCAAAACAGTGTGTGTGTGAGAATGAACAATGAGGAAACGCAAAAGATGTCAAGCTCTCTCCATAGATGATGTCAAGCACACGTGCAAAAAATTAATAAATCTCCAGTGTATCATAAACGCACCAGATGTGAACAGGTGGAAGTCAAGAATAATTACTTCAGTCTGTTCTTCAGCCTTGTGAAAAAGAAGTGTGCTTAATTTGATTGAATGTGCAGTAGTGTACTTTAAATATTTCATATATCTACACTCACCTAAAGGATTATTAGGAACACCTGTTCAATTTCTCATTAATGCAATTATCTAATCAACCGATCACATGGCAGTTGCTTCAATGCATGTAGGGGTGTGGTCCTGGTTGAGACAATCTCCTGAACTCCAAACTGAATGTCAGAATGGGAAAGAAAGGTGATTTAAGCAATTTTGAGCGTGCCATGGTTGTTGGTGCCAGACGGGCCGGTCTGAGTATTTCACAATCTGCACAGTTACTGGGATTTTCACGCACAACCATTTCTAGGGTTTACAAAGAATGGTGTGAAAAGGAAAAAACATCCCGTATGCGGCAGTCCTGTGGGCGAAAATGCCTTGTTGATGCTAGAGGTCAGAGGAGAATGGGCCGACTGATTCAAGCTGATAGAAGAGCAACTTTGACTGAAATAACCACTCGTTACAACCGAGGTATGCAGCAAAGCATTTGTGAAGCCACAACACGCACAACCTTGAGGCGGATGGGCTACAACAGCAGAAGACTCCACCGGGTACCACTCATCTCCACTACAAATAGGGAAAAGAGGCTACAATTTGCAAGAGCTCACCAGAATTGGACAGTTGAAGACTGGAGAAATGTTGCCTGGTCTGATGAGTCTCGATTTCTGTTGAGACATTTAGATGGTAGAGTCAGAATTTGGCGTAAACAGAATGAGAACATGGATCCATCATGGCTTGTTACCACTGTGCAGGCTGGTGGTGGTGGTGTAATGGTGTGGGGGATGTTTTCTCGGCACACTTTAGGCCCCTTAGTGCCAATTGGGCATCGTTTAAATGCCACGGCCTACCTGAGCATTGTTTCTGACCATGTCCATCCCTTTATGGCCACCATGTACCCATCCTCTGATGGCTACTTCTAGCAGGATAATGCACCATGTCACAAAGCTCGAATCATTTCAAATTGGTTTCTTGAACATGACAATGAGTTCACTGTACTAAAATGGCCCCCACAGTCACCAGATCTCAACCCAATAGAGCATCTTTGGGATGTGGTGGAACGGGAGCTTCGTGCCCTGGATGTGCATCCCACAAATCTCCATCAACTGCAAGATGCTATCCTATCAATATGGGCCAACATTTCTAAAGAATGCTTTCAGCACCTTGTTGAATCAATGCCACGTAGAATTAAGGCAGTTCTGAAGGCGAAAGGGGGTCAAACACAGTATTAGTATGGTGTTCCTAATAATCCTTTAGGTGAGATATATATATATAAAAATATTTACTTGCAGGTAATGTAATATTAGTAAAATAAACGTATCACTTAAGTATACTTAAATAGAGTTCACTTTAACACACTTAAGTACACTTTAAAAAAAAGTGCACTTTGTAATGACAATTAAAAGGATTCATTTTAAATCATTGTAATTTTGATGTGTTGACTAACAAACTGAAGCACACGAAAAGTATTATAATTTTAACTGTAGTGTGTGGATATTACATTAAACGTAAATATATTTAAGTCCCCCTGTGGTGAAAATCTAGCTTTTAATGTTGTTTATGTGTCTATGTGGTGTTTTGAATATGCTTTAAGACAAATCATGTGTAAATTCATAAGTCGACAGCATTGCTGAGTATTTCCTCCTTAAAACTGCAGTGAACCAAAGACAGTCTCAAAAACACGGTTTGAAATCGCTGGTGTTTCTGACGTCACAAACGACCTTTGTGATCAGATCAACGTGTGATCGTCAACCAGTGGATCTCTGAGCTGAGTGAGTGAGTGGAGGCGGGGCTCATTTGCATATTCATAGAACCGCATATACTAAATGAGGCAAGGGTGTCGAGTTACATTCAAGATATTTTAAGGCATGAACAATTTTAAATATGTATTTTTGGTGATCAAAGATGAAATTTAAGGGATAAAATGATTGACTACAGGGGGACTTTAAATGTGCTAATTGCAACTTCATCATTACAAATGTGTAATTACAAATATATTTAAATAAATGACATACAAGTATCAAAAGAAATGACATTTAAGTATATTTTAGTTTGCCATAAATGTTCGTCAGCACATTTAGCAGTACACTTAAACCATATTTCAAGGACAATAGAATTATTTAATTGTATGTAAAAGAGCAGCGTGAACATTCTGCTAAACATCTGGCCTTTGGTCCACTGAAGAAACGTCTCGGTTACGGATGTAACCCTCGTTCCCTGAGTAGGATACGTCGGATGACGGAGAATGGGGGTTTCGCCAGAAAGCCTATCATCTTCGAGTATTAAAAAACGAGGCTATGGCAATGAAATGCCATGGGTCAGCGGAATTTGCATAATGTATCTCCGCCTCACCGCGTGAGTATTTAAGGAGAGACACCTGCAACAGCAGATCATGTCTTCGCTGAGGAGCCGAGACTGAACTCAGGCGTCTACCCAGCGGTACAGCGGAAGTGGCAGGGAGACGTAACGTCTCCGTTCCCTACTCAGGGAACGAGGGTTACATCCGTAACCGAGACGTTCCCTTTCGTAGTCACTCCGAGTTACGTCGGATGACGGAGAATGGGGGTCCCCGTGTAATCACGCCACCTTCACAGCTGTCTTCCAGTGCCCTGCGAAGTCTGACCTCCCTGTCGTGATATAGGCACGGACGAAGGAGTCCTACTTAACACAGGAATACCAAGGTACACTGGGAAGCATATCTCAGGGGAGAAATGCCACAGCATGCCTACCCATAGGGAGGACTTAAGAATACACATATGGCCGAGGGGGCTTCATATGGAGGAACACTGGAGTGACCAGCCCGTGGGGTGGCAACTTTCAACTCCAGGACTGGCAAGGTGGCTTGCCGAGGGAAAGACACATGCTCAAAGAGGCTTACAGTGGAAATACACATGTGGGGGTTACTCAGAGGAGGAACCATGCACACGGAGGCACCTAGCCGACGCACAGGCAATAGACACTGGCGCCAGCGTCAACAGTGCTGGAGGAACTCAGGGCTTCAGAGAGGAAGGCTACCTGAGGAAATATCGCACGTATCCAGTCCGTGGATTGGAATGGCGAGCAAGCGAGACACCTAACTCCTAACCATGTTAGCTTGAAAAAGACAGTACATGGATGGGAGGAGACTGGCTCCACTCGGAGATTGTAAAATCTGGCGAATGTGTTGGGTGTCGCCCACCCTGCAGCTCTGCAAATGTCTGTTATGCTGGTATGCCAAAGCAATGGTGTCCACTATCCAGTGGGATAACCTTTGCTTGGAGAGAGCCTTTCCCTTCAGCTTCCCACCATAACAGACAAAGAGCTGGTCTGAGGTCCTGAAACACTGCGTCCTGTCTACGTAAGCACGGAGGGCGCGTACTGGACAGAGCAGTGCCAAGGCTGGGTCTGCCTCCTCCAGGGGCAGCGCTTGCAGGTTCACCACCTGGTCCCGGAAGGGAGTGGTGGGAACCTTGGGCACATATCCAGGCCGGGGTCTCAGGATCACGTGAGAGCAGGCCGGCCCGAATTCCATGCACGCTTCGTCAACGGAGAGTGCGTGCAGATCCCCCAACCTCTTGATGGAGGCCAGTGCAACCAGGAGCGCTGTCTTCATTGACAGGAACTTAATCTCCACTGATTGCAGAGGCTCAAAGGGAGCCCTCTGCAGGGCATATAAGACCACTGAGAGGTCCCAAGAGGGTACGAGAGGAGGGCGAGGAGGATTCAGTCTTCTCGCTCCTCTCAGGAACCTGATGATCAGGTCGTGCTTTCCCAGAGACTTACCTTCAACTGCATCGTGATAAGCGGCGATAGCGGCCACATACACCTTCAGGGTGGAGGGAGACAGCCTTCACTCCAGCCCGTCTTGCAGAAAGGAAAGCACGACACCAATCGAGCATCTCCTGGGGTCTTCTCTCTTTCGAGAAGAGCACCAGTTGACGAAGAGGTTCCACTTCAACGCGTAGACGTGTCTCGTGGACAACGCTCTAGCGGAAGTGATGGTAGCCGCCACCGCAGGTGGCAGGGTACTCAAACCTGCCTCGTCCCGTCCAGGAACCACACGTGGAGTCCCCAAAGATCGGGACGAGGGTGCCATAGGGTGCCCCGTCTCTGAGAAAGTAGGTCCTTCCTCAGAGGAATTGGCCAAGGAGGTATTGTCGTGAGGAGTATCAGTTCGGAGAACCAGGTCTTGGTGGGCCAGTATGGGGCGACCAATATGACCTGCTCCTCGTCCTCCTTGATCTTGCACAGAGTCCGTGCGAGAAGGCTCACTGGGGGAAACGCATATTTGCGTAGGCCCTGCGGCCAGCTGTGCGCCAGTGCATCCGTGCCGAGTGTGCCCTCGGTCAGGGAGTAATACAGGGCGCAATGGGATGAGTCGTGGGAGGCAAACAGATCTATCTGTGCGTCCCCGAACTGGTCCCATATCAGCTGGACCGACTGGGGATGGAGTCGCCATTCGCCAGAGGTTGGCCGGAGCCGTGACAGCTCGTCGGCTGCAAGGTTCCGCTCTCCTGGAATGTAATTAGCACGAAGGGACCTCAGGTGCTTCTGACTCCATAAGAGGAGGTGGCGTGCGAGTTGCGACATACGGCGAAAGCGTAGACCAGCCTGACGGTTGATGTACGCTACTGTCGCAGTATTGTCCGAACGGACAAGTACGTGTTGACCCAGGAGCAGCGCGTGGAAGCGGTGCAGGGCAAGGCGTACTGCCAGCAACTCGAGGCAATTGACATGCATGAGGCGCTGGGGTCCTGTCCAGGAGCCCGCGGCTGCATGTCCATTGCACATGGCGCCCCAGCATCTGTGGAGACAACAACATGCCTGGAAACTCGTTCTAGGGGAACTCCGGCCCGTAGAAAGCTGAGGTTCCGCCACGGGGTCAAGGACTGACGGCAGGTTGGAGTTATTGGAACTCTGAGCGTACCGCGATGCCATGCCCACCTCGGGACCCGATCGCGAAGCCACAGCTGAAGCGGTCTCATATGAAGCAATCCGAGTGGCGTTGCCGCGGCTGCGGATGCCATATGCCCCAGGAGCCTCTGAAAAAGTTTCAGTGGGACCGCACTCTTGCCCTCGAACTGTCGAAGACAAGTCAGCAGTGAGTGTGCGCGCTCGCTCGTAAGCTGCGCGGACATGGCGACCGAGTCTATCTCCATACCGAGAAAAGAGATCCTCTGCACGGGGCAAAGTTTGCTCTTCTCCCAGTTGACCCGAAGGCCCAGACGGGCTAGGTGCCGGAGCACTAGGTCTCTGTGTTCGCAAACCTGGACTCGAGAGTGAGCTAATATTAGCCAGTCGTCGAGGTAATTCAGGATGCGAACCCCGTGTTCGCGCAGGGGAACAAGGGCTGCCTCGACGACCTTCGTAAAGACGCGAGGAGACAGAGCCAACCCGAATGGGAGAACTGTGTACTGGTATGCCTGCCCCTCGAAAGCAAACCGAAGAAACGGTCTGTGTCGAGGTAAAATGGAGACATGAAAGTAGGCGTCCTTCAGGTCTATCGCTGCAAACCAATCCTGTGGCCGCACGCATTCGAAAATGCGTTTGGTCGTGAGCATCCTGAACGGCAGCCTGTGAAGGGAGCTCAAGACGCGCAGATCCAGGATTGGCCATAACCCACCGGTCTTCTTGGGGACAATGAAGTACGGGCTGTAAAACCCTGACCTCATTTCGGCTGGAGGGACAGTCTCGATTGCACCCTTCGCCAGCAGGGTGGCAACCTCCGCTCTCATGATCGGGGCATTGTCACCGACCAAAGTAAACGGACTCCCCTGAAGCGGGGAGGAGACCATGCGAATTGGATCGCATAGCCGAGCCTGATAGTTCGGGCGACCCAGCGGGACAGGTAGTCTGCTCTGCCAGGGGTCTGGCGACAGAGGGGGACGAGAGTGGTGTGGTCCGGAGACGGCACACACTGTCATCCGCGCCCTCAGAGACAGAGGGGGACGAGAGCGGCAAGGCCCGGGAGCGTCGCGCACTGTCGTCCGGCCCTCTGAGGGCTCAGAGATGGGATGCAGCTCTTTGGTTTAGAAAAGATTCTCCCCCAGCCCTCCACCGGGGGAAGGAGTGGCCCTGCAACCACTCCCTGAACAACTGCAACCCACATCTGAGCTGCCCGTAACGGGAGCGCCGCAAGCCTGGCCTTGGCGGGGCTGCGGGACCGGTACGGGCAGGGGCGCCTTCCTGCGACCACCTCCACGGCGCGGTGCTGCTGGGGGCCGGGCGGGAGGGGGCGGAAGTCGACGGAGGGCGCATTCGGCAGCAAGCGGACTGAGGCGTCTGAGCCGGCAGCTGGAGGCAGCAAAGCCGCGGGGTCAGACAAAATAGCCATAGTCCACTTCTGGGCGGCCGAGAACTGTTGGGCAGAGTCCTCGACCGCGCCGCCGAAGAGGCCAGCCTGGGATATGGGGGAGTTGAGGAAACGAAATCACTCAGCCTCGCGCACATCAACCAGGTTAGCCAGAGGTGTCTGACCACCTATGTGGACATCACCTGACTCAGGGAGCGTGTGGTCACCTACGTCGCTCGGAGAGCAAGGTCGGTGACGGCAGGCAGCTCAAGGATGAGCCCTGAATCAGCCCTACCCTCGTGCATGTCATTGAACACCCAGGAGGATGGCAATAACACGCAGTGAGGTGGCAGCCTGCCCCGCTGCTCTATAGGTCCCCGCCACCGGAGTAGACAAGAACCTACAGGCATTGGAGGGGTGCTTAAGAGTCGCCAGGCCAGGTGGAGGCGCTGTGGGGACACATAAGTGTTGCCACAGAACACTCCACAGGGGGAACCCCAGTGCACCCTAGGCCGCGGCCTCTACAAGGGCAGAGAAGGCGGAAGAGGCCACTGAGCAGTCGCGAAAAGTCAAGGAGACTTCCACGATCTCATGATCTCTTCATGCACGTCCGGGTAGAAAGGATTTGGGTTCGCCACCCCCAAAAACCAATCACCCGGGAAGCATAGCTGTGCACTCTGGATCAAACTCGTTATGCTAGCACATCCCGAGGACGGCAGCACAGACGAGCCATCATCTCTAGAGGACTCCAGCTCACCTTGTGATGCGGTGATACATGATTTCATCAGCCGGGGGACCGAATGAGACCGCGGGCCCGCGGGCGGGCCGGCGAACTCACCTGGGACCACGCAGGTTGCAATGTGAAAGACGGGGTGTGGACCGAGGAATTTTTCGTCGGTTTAGTTCCAAACCTGCCGTCTTAGGTCACCCTGGCCACCAGCCGAAGTATTATCTCACGTGGAGAAAAATAGATCGGGGTGTGGATGAGGGGACTCTCACTCATTGAGCTCATCGAGTCTCGACCGTTACATTGCGATGGTCACGTTCCCAGTGAGAGAACGTGACACACCCACGAGCGCTGTTTGAGCGCGATCAAAGCCCAAACACTCGAAACAGCGCTCGCGCCCATCAGCTGAATCTATCAGAATACCACACTCAGAAAAAAAAAAACACGGGCAGATCGTCTTTAGAAAGATGCGTCTTTAAAAAGACGTGCCGCGTGCAGCTCTTTAGTGAGAGGAAAAACTCCGCGGATGTTGAAGCGACCAGGGAGAACACACAGACTGGCAGACCACTGCTCAGCTCGCAGGCAATGTGAAACTCGCTGGATACCGCCGTCACACCAACACCGGAGAGTTCGCTCGTCTCGAAGAGATGTAGTCACTGAGAAAACTCAGGATTTGGCTTGTGGAGTGAAGAGATGCTCTTGGCTCCGAAGCGAAAACATGATCTGCTGTTGCAGGTGTCTCTCCTTAAATACTCACGCGGTGAGGCGGAGATACATTATGCAAATTCCGCAGACCCATGGCATTTCATTGCCATAGGCTCGTTTTTTAATACTCGAAGATGATAGGCTTTCTGGCGAAACCCCCATTCTCCGTCATCCGACGTAACTCGGAGTGACTACGAAAGGGAACAAAGTGTTTTCAATCATAAACAAAGGCACTTAATATAACTACTCTTAAAAGAAAATCTTCTTCTCTTTCTCTTCTTTTCTGCATTTTCACTTCTGCTGTAGATTGTGTACTAACTGTAATCTAGCTTCCAATGAGAAATGAAAGACCTTTCAGCTTTCAGCATGACAATGATTCAAAACACATCTAAATCAACAAAAGAGCACAGAAAGATGAATGTTTTGGAAATGGCCCAACCAGAGCCCAGATCTAAACCTTATAGAAGATGCCCATGAGATGCCCTCGCAATTTACCAGATCTGGAACCTTTTTGCAAAGAAGACTTATAGTAATATAATATCAATATTCCCAAGTCGAGATGTGCCAAGCTGATAGACCATACACACTCTGTGCTGTAATACACTTATGCAGTTAGTTATTCCAAGTCTTTTATTTGTATCTTTTTTCTCTGAAATGTGTTTGGTTTTAAGTGTCATTGCATAGGTTTAAATTTTTACATTAAATGTGCAAAAGTTCTGATATGATTTATCTTCATTTTTCATTTTTTTACAAAACAGAAACCAGCTGTTTTAACAGGGGTGTGCAGACTTTTTATATCCACTGTATTTTAAACTTGGCATTGTGTTATATGAATATTGTTGGCTTTTATCATAAATTGCTTGTGATGTTGCTCCGTTGCTTTGAATAAAAGTGTCTATTAAACAAATAAATGTACATGTAAAGACAGTCATGGTGGTTTGGAATGAGGGTGAGCAAAAGAAGTCCCATTTCTGAGTGAGTGAACTATCCCTTTATAGGGGTGGTTGATTATGATTTCACTTTTCTAACTAGAGTTAGTGTGTAATGTTGCGTTTTAAGCATAAACAACATCTGCAAAGTAAAGGGAGATATTTTCTTTTACAGAAATCACTTTTTAAGGACTACAACAAACGGCTGGTAGGGACTACAATGAGCTTCCTCCCGGAAGTTTATGTAAATGTATCTAAAATTTACCCCCCCCCCCCCCCCCCCCCCCCCCCCCCCCGAACGCGATTTATAGATTATCATGACAGAATATGCTAATCAATGACTAGAAGATAGTTAACTCCACCTCAGATACATAAATTCATCAATTAACCATTCAGAAATGTCCTGTTGCTTCTACATGTTGTCACTTCTTGAGTCTCTCCATTTTTGTCCGACTCCGGTTTGAACATAAAAGGCTAAACGTTTTTTAAATATTCAGTGTGTATGTGTGTGAGGTAGTCAAAGCTGCTAAGACACACACACACACACACACACACACACGAGCTCTTGAAGCTCCGCCCCTGCGCCGGGAGCAGCAGCTCATTTGCATTTAAAGAGACACACACAAAAACTGTGTGTTTTTGCTCACCCTCAAAAAGTGACAATTTTAACATGCTATATAAACATATCTGTGGGGTATTTTGAGCTAGAACTTCACACACACACTCTAGGGACATCAGAGACTTATTTTACATCTTGTAAGAAGGGCATTGTAGGACCCCTTTAAAGGTTTGTATATGTGTGTGTGTGTGACATACGGGTTGGAGTTGCTCAAGATGAAGAATGCGCTTCCCTCTGGGATCGGTGGAGTCTTTTCTCTGAGACTCAGCTCTGACAGTCTCTGAGGCCTCGGCCCCGACGGCACCACGGGCTCTTGCTCCTCATCCTCCTCTACACACACACACACACACACACACACAGTGATCAGCTGACTCCACTGGAGCTCAAGTGATGAGAGTAAATACTATTAGAGGTTTACCTAAAGAGTCAATCATCTCCTCGGCCTGATCCTGATCGGCCTCCTGATCACCAGACGCCTGAAACAAAAGCACCTCAGTGATAGAGATAATGTCGAAACAGCAAAAAATGTGTTTCCTACTCGATACTTTTGTCTTGTTTTTCAGTACAAATATCTAAACATTCTTAAAGGGTTAGTTCACCCAAAAATGAAAATTATGTCAGTAATTACTCACCCTCATGTTGTTCCAACCCCGTAAGACCTTCGTTCATCTTCGGAACACGAATTAAGATATTTTTGATGAAATCTGACAGCTGGATCACTCCTCGGCCTCGAAAAGTTATTAAAGACATTGTTAAAATAGTCCAAGTGACTACAGTGGCTCAATGTTAAGTTTATCAAGCGAAGAGAATACTTTTTGTGCGCAAAAACAAACAAAAATAACGACTTTATTTCAACTATTCATGTCCTTCTCTGTGTGCCTCGAGTCAGTTCACTAGTGTAATAGCGTAAGCTTCTGTTGTTGTACGTCACACGCATCACCCACATGACCAGCGTCGGCCAATAGTGAGCCTACGTGTGACGTAGCTCTACGCAATCACACTACGTTAACTGACTAGAGGCCCAAAGAGAAGGACATGAATAGTTGAAATAAAGTCGTTATTTTTGTTTGTTTTTGCGCACAAAAAGTATTTGATAAACTTCGTCGCTTGATAAACTTAAGATTGAGCCACTGTCGTCACTTGGACTATTTTAACGATGTCTTTAATAACTTTTCGAGGCCGGCAAGTTCAATCCCTGAAGAAGCCTATGGACTAGTATGGAGGAGTGATCCAGCTCTCAGATTTCATAAAAAATATCTTAATTCGTGTTCTGAAGATGAACGAAGGTCTTACGGGGTTGGAACAACATGAGGGAGAGTAAATACTGACAGAATTTTCATTTTTGGGTGAACTAACCCTTTAAAGCCCGACTGAAGTGCCTTGGAACGCGCTTGTTTGATGCGTTGACGTAATTTCCACTGAAACAGGAAGCTGAGGCAGGACATATTGAATGGCTCCTCCCCCTTTTCAAACAGCCAATAGCGTTTAGTTTCCCTCCCAGACTGACAGCACCATTGAAGCGAATCCGAGCGCTGATGAAACGCTGGACTCAATAGTAGAGATGTGAATAAACTCGTCATTTCATTCTTAATCAACGTACAGTTGGAAAACGGAGTAAAACTGGGGCGGAGCCTCAGATTCTAGAGAGCATGTGATTGGACAGAAGATGTGATGAGAAGCTGAAGTGATGTCATAAACATCCCTGATTCATTTTAGCGGAAGTGAGAGACTGTGAGTTTTGAATGCTCATATCTCCTAAATGTGAATTTTGTCATTGTTTTGGAAGCTTATTCAAAACCTTAAGGCTGACGTATTCATACTAAAAGCTAAAACACTTACATTTTGATTTCAGGGGGCCGTTAAATCAAGATACATTCTCTTGAAAAGTAAAATTACTTACTGAAAAAAATAATTAAAATTAATTAAGTTTATGCTTAAAACAGAAAATATCTGCCAGTGGGGTCAGAAAAATCAACTTAATAAAAAAAAATACAAATAATATGGACCTCATTGGCAGATATTTTTTCTTGTCTAAGCATAAACTTACTTTGATACATTTTTCTTCATGCCTTATTTAATTTTCCTTCTAAAGTAAAAGTATCTTGATTCAGGAATTTTTCAATATTGTAGGATGGTGATGATAAAGAAAGCAGATGGATATAATTCCAGTTGTTTTATAAACAAAAAACAAAAAAGGTAATACAAATATTAACTCAAAATTCAAGAGTAGGAGAAAACGTAACAACGTAGGTCAGACAACAGAGGACACCGAACTACAAACTGTGGAGGGTTTAAATACACCGAATAATGAGGAGTAGAACAAGACACTGGTGGGGACTAATCAATCAACAAATGAGTAACCATGGAAACAAACAAGAAATGGGAACAAAGGAAACAAGAACAAAAACAAGGAGTGCAAACTACAAAGTCCATGAAAACAGAACTCAACTGAACATGTGAAGATATTTTTTCTTATTTTAAGCATAAATTCACTTAAAATAAATGCCTATTTTTCAATGCCTTACTGAGTAATTGTCTTACTCAAGTAAATGTAATGGAATTGTAATGGAAAACAAGACTAAACTACTACACTGTAAAAAGTGTTCAAGTTCAATTTAAAAAATTGAGTAAACCCGCTGCCTTAAAATTATTAAGTAAATAAACTTAATGTTTAATTGTAAATATTAAGTTGTGAACTTGACAATTGCACATTACTTAATTTTTTCGATTAAGCATCAAATTTATTTACTTAACAATTTTAAGGCAACGGGTTTCCTCAATTGTTTTAAGTTCAGTCACCTGATCACTTTTACAGTGTGTAAGAAAATATTTTTTTGCAGAAAGTCACAAAATGATAATGTTCAGATGACTTATTTCATGCTATGCATATAAATATCACTCACCTTAAAGTTTCCCTCGTCACCATCTCTCTTGAATATGCTCATACTCCTGCACAAAACACCGTCGGTGTGTTAGCAGACATCAGTACTCAGTGTGTGAGGACACTCTCAGGTCATCAGAGACGAGTGTTACCTGCTCTTCCTCCTCTTGTTCCTCTTCTCCTCCTCTTTCTGGGCCGAGTTCAGGCTCTCAGCGTCTGCCAGGTTATCCACAGCAATGGCCAAGAACACATTCAGTAAGATGTCTGATCACATGTGTTAAGAATGTGTTCTCCCTGAATCCATATTCATAAAACGAGAGATATCCAGTGTACCGCTGAACATAATGTGTTTCCTTCTAACATCGGTGTTATTAAAACTGATGTGTCATTGTTCAACTAGCTAGTTATAAACATGGGTAACATTTTATTTTACGGTGTCCTTGTTACATATGTTACTTACCACAGTTATAGTAAATGATGCATAATTACATGCAATTAACCCTCAACCAAACCCTATAGTAAGTACATGCTGTTAGTTATTATTACTCAGTACTTAAATATATAATTACACTGTAACAATGACACCTTAAAATAAAGTTTAACCAAATCATGTCTTTAAGATTTTTGAGTGCACTTTAAATGGGCAAAAATTGTACCTTTAGATGTGCAACAGCTTGGCACTGGCACAGTACCCTTAAATGGACATCTTTGTATTTCATTTACCCCTAAAAGATAGTACCTGAAGCGTTCATATTTACTACTCTAAATTATTAATACTAATTAATAATATTATTAATACTGTATTAATACGCACATTTTAGGGGCATTTAAGGACCAATGTTGTGCCTTTAAGGGTACTTTCCCAATGCTATTGTGTGTGTGTAAGTAAGTAAATAAATAAGGTCCATTTTCTGCTAATGTTTTTGATAGGGTAAGGACAATGTTACAACATGTAAACAAAAGTTGTCCAGGTGTCTGTAATGCAACATGTTCTTGTGTTGTGTAAAGAATTTTAGAATGCAACAATATGTTGTATGCTCATGTTTTTTGGCCAATTTAGGCCTGAAATGTCATAATTTCATGCCAGTATTTTTTAATATACACTACCCGTCAAAAGTTTAGAATGAATGTTTTTCAAAAGTCTCTTCTGCTCACCAAGACTGCAATTATTTGATATAAAATACCAAAACAAAAACAGTAATATTGTGAAACATTACAATTTAAAATAAATGTTTTCTAATTTATTCCTGTGATAAAGCTGAATTTTCAGCATCATTACTCCAGTCTTCAGTGTCACATGATCCTTCAGAAATCACTCTAATATGATGATTAGGATCATGTGACACTGAAGACTGGAGAAATTATGCCATCACAGTAATACATTACATTCAAAATAGATGAGTTATTTTAAAATATAATAATATTTCACAACATTGCTGTTTTAACTGAATTTTTTAACAAATAAATAGACATTTTAAAAATAAAAACATTTTTAAAATGTAATTATTCAGAACTTTTGACTGGTAGTGTTTGGCTTTGTTCAGTTACACAGTCGGAAGACATCTTGTACAGTGAGGTATTTTAGTCATAAATGTGCTGAACACAAGGAAAGATACAGTTCCCACAGATGAAGAGGATGATGAAGTAGATGCACACGAGCATGCCTGAGGAAGAGGGTCCTCCATACGCCATGATCCCATCATACATCACTGTATTCCAGTCCTCACCCGTCAGGATCTGAGGACGAACACAGCAGAACCATGAAGTGTGTTTGACACAGCATGCCGTATAGTAGCTAGAGTAGATGAATGTGCATGAGCTCCATCAAAAACTGTCTCTTGAATAATTATACATGCTGCTTTCAAGATCATGATCATGCTAATTTGGACAATAAATGATCATAAAATGGTAATTTATGATTATCGTATTCATTCTTATTCGTATTTGCAATGTATTAAAAAAAAAATGTTTTTTTAGGTTGGGCATAACATGAACATGTGACTCTATAACGCCTGTACTTTGAGCAAGCAGTATGTGTAAATGTGTCTGTGTAAATGTGTGTGTGTATCTGTGTAAATGTGTGTGTGTGTGTAAATGTGTCTGTGTAAATGTGTGTGTGTAAATGTGTCTGTGTAAATGTGTCTGTGTATCTGTGTAAGTGTGTGTATCTGTGTAAATGTGTGTGTGTAAATGTGTCTGTGTAAATGTGTCTGTGTATCTGTGTAAGTGTGTGTATCTGTGTAAATGTGTGTGTGTAAATGTGTGTGTGTAAATGTGTCTGTGTATCTGTGTAAGTGTGTGTATCTGTGTAAATGTGTGTGTGTAAGTGTGTCTGTGTAAATGTACACTTCTGGTCAAAAGTTTGTGGTCAGTAGGATTGATCAAAAATGACACTAAAGTCTTTTACATTCTTACAAAAGGTGTCAAATAAATGCTGTTCTTTTTAACTTTTTATTTATCAAATAATCATAAAAAAGTATCACGGTGTCCGCAAACATCTGAAGCAGCAAAACTGTTTTCATCATTGATAATAAATTATGTTTCTTGAGCAGATTTCTGGAGGAGCATGAGAAATCACACAGGAGAATCTTACCGACCCCAAAGTTTTGAATAGTAGTATGTACACACGCACACGCACACACACACACACACACACACACACACACACACACACACACACACACACACACCTGAAACACAGTCAGCAGGGCTTGAGGGAAGTTGTCAAAAGTGCTTCGTTTAGTAACGGTCTCGTCGAAGTTGAACTTCCCGCCGAAGAGCTGCATGCCGAGCAAACTGAAGATGATGATGAAGAGGAAGAGCAACAGCAGCAGAGACGCGATCGACTTCATGGAGTTCAACAGAGAAGCCACCAGATTACTCAGAGACGCCCAGTGCCTGGACACAGAGAGAGAATCAATACAACCAGCACCACAAGTCAAGTCAAGTCTCCTTCATTTATACAGTGCTTATAGCAATATAGAGTGTTTCAAAGAAGCTTTACAGTGATAACAGGAGATTACAGTAACAGATTGTTTTGATTTTACAGCAGCTCTAGAATAAAGTTATTGTCCAGCTAATGTTATTTTTGATTGATTCACTTCCGTTGCAAAGATCATTAGTTATTAACTATTTTATTACACAACAGAAAACGTCTCGGTCACGTATGTAACCCTAGTTCCCTGAATAGGGAACGAGACGCTGCGTCGAGACGCTGTGGGAACGCCCTGCGTGAGTGCGTCATGAAGCACGGATGGGATCAGTCCAATGGCGAGACGGAGCATCATATTTTTATGACATCATCGACCAGGAAACTATAAAGACCCCCTGAATCATAACAGCGCCAGCTTCTGATAGCAGGGTTCCAGACTGCGACCATTTTTTGAGAATGTGCGAGTTAAAATGTTATGTGGTCGCATTTGTGCGAGTGGACGCTTGAGCAACTGAATGCCGCTGTATCAGCTGCTGCAGTCCGTAACTTATGTTCAAAATGAACGAGTAGGCTACATCATGAATCCATTTTCCAAACCGTGTTTTTGACTTATTCTGAATCACTACGGTACGCCTATAATAAGTGTTTATATTCGGACTATTTTATCCCGGGGTCGTCTCGGCTGCGGAGTAGCCCAGTGCCTGCGTGACTCGCCATAGACATTAACGGAGAGAAGTTCCGTCTACAATGTTCTTCCGCAAGACAAGTGCAGTTTATTTATTGACTTACGTAGACATCACGCGCATTGCACACTGATGGTGAAACGCGCCAATTACGAATTCACGAATTAAGGCATATAAAAATGATAAAAATGGTCTCACGAAACACAGAGCCCCTTCCTCCTACGTCTTTTCAGCGGTTATATTTTCCTCTGTCGAGCGATTACTCTCATGATCGCTCGACAGAGGAAAAGGAAATTATTATAAAATGCAGAAGGTAAGGAGTGTGAGATTTCTGCTTTTTGTTACAGCTATAAACTTTGATAACGAAAAATCTGTATCAGTTTATTATAATACTCTAATCTTTTAAAATGTAATGCATACATATCTATCTAAAAGATAGATAGATAGATAGATAGATAGATTAGATAGATAGATAGATAGATAGATAGATAGATAGATAGATAGATAGATAGATAGATAGATAGATAGATAGATAGATAGATAGATAGATAGATAGAATGATTCAAATGTAAATAGATAGATTGTATATAATTCAAATGTAAAATGCTTAAAATTACAGATTAAAATTACTGTCCAAAATCCATGAAAATCCTGAAATTTGGCAATGATAATTAATATATTACAGGTATTTCTGCTGCAACCCAGAAAGCATTTGCTAGCCTTGGTCCATTAAAACCACTATTCATCAGCATGCATTGATTAATCCTGTGGCATGTAGCGGAAAAAAAAAAGAGAAAAAAAGGTGCGACCAAATCATATGCTGGTGCGACCAACTGAGAAAGTTGGTAGCACCAGTGCAACCAGTGGAAAAGTTAGTCTGGAGCCCTGGATAGGCTGAAGCATGTCGATCACGGGAATGCCGGGAGTATGCCAGGGCGACGCAGCGTCTCGTTCCCTCTTCAGGGAACTAGGGTTACATACGTAACCGAGACGTTCCCTTTCAAGGGAACTCGAGCTGCGTCGAAAAGCTGTGGGAACGCTAATACCCACGACCAGGGCTTGACACTAACTTTTTTGCTCACCCGCTGTGGCTAGTGGTTTTTCAAAGTTACTAGCCACTCCGCTTTTTCACTGGCCAAAATTTTGACATCGATATCTTAGGGAAAAACTGCCATATCGATATTATTAATATTATCTCATTATTTGGCAGCCGGTATATTAGGCTGCTGTTGCTTTAAGACATGACACACAGACCCATTATACTGTTTTAAATAGCCAATATACTTGTCTTTATGTGCAAGCATTTTGGGTGTGAGCACAAAATCTGCAGGAATGAGTATAATTGTGCTCAATATGCACAATCCCTCGCCCTGTAACCAACAATATTCATCCGGAGCAAATTAAACGAGTGAGTAAAGGGGTTTGTGTGTTAAACCTCAACCATAGAGAGCCTTAGCCCCTCCCCTTCCGGTCGACCACCATGGGACCTTATTTCGGAAAAATATTGTATGGTAGTCAATGGCGAGAGACAACAAATATTTTGCTCTCGTTTGAATTGTGCCCTGAATTACACATATGATGTTTGTCCATTTAAAAGATACAGTTTAAAGTCAAGAAAGTCGCAGTTTGATGTAAAACTGTTGAGGTATAAGACTGTGAAAATACGTAATTACAAAGACTACAAACCCCAAAGGCGCACATTTTCTCTCAATGAATGAAGCTAACTTTACCGAAGCTAACTTTACTAAGCTAACTTTACTGAAGCTAACTTTACGAAGCTAACTTTACCAAAGCTAACTTTACTGAAGCTAACTTTACTGAAGCTAATTTTACTGAAGCTAACTTTACTGAAGCTAACTTTACTGAAGCTAACTTTACCGAAGCTAACTTTACTGAAGCTAACTTTACTGAAGCTACTGAAGCTAACTTTACTGAAGCTACTGAAGCTAACAAGCTACTGAAGCTAACTTTACTGAAGCTAACTTTACTGAAGCTAATTTTACTGAAGCTAACTTTACTGAAGCTAACTTTACTGAAACTAACTTTACTGAAGCTAACTTTACTGAAGCTAACTTTACCGAAGCTAACTTTACTGAAGCTAACTTTACTGAAGCTACTGAAGCTAACTTTACTGAAGCTAACTTTACTGACAGGGCTGCCAACTCTCACGCATTGAGCGTGAGACTCACGCAATTGAGCCAATTCTCACGCTCTCACGCCACACCCCCGATTTCTCACGCTGAAGTGTCAACCCGGTCGGTCAAATGCCTGAAAGATAAGTTTATCTATAGATCTACCAGTTGAGCCACTCGTGATCGACTAGTTTTACCGCAAATTAGTTAAAATATCCTGTAATCTAGAGCGAGCGTGCATGCAAGACAGATGTGTTGAGCTCCTAATGGCGCGGTTCTAACCACGCACGACACCAGAGAGGTAAGCGAGCGAAAGAGCTTGCGTGTCGTCCGAAACACAACACAATTGAGCGATTTTCACATAAAACTAAATGTTACTCTTCTGTTTCATGACAAACTGCGACTTTCTTGACTTTAAGAATTATCTTTTAAATTGACAAACATCATATGTGTAATTCAGGGCACAGTTCAGACGGAATAAAAAGATAAGTTGTCTCTCGCCATTGACTACCATACATGTTTTTTTCCAAAATAAGGTCCCATGAGCCGGAAGCGGAGGAGCGGGGCTTAGGCTATTGCCACAAATACACCCGTGCGACTCGAGACTGGTTCTGTGATCCAGGGTCACATACAGTCGTCAGTAATTACAGCATGATATGAAGGCATCTGATCATGTGAGCTGTCTCTCACCGTGTGACTTTAAAGATCCTGAGGAGCCGAACGCAGCGAAACACAGAGATGCCGAGCGGAGACATGACCTCGAACTCCACGAGGATCGTCTCCACAATGCCTCCGCAAACTACGAAGCAGTCGAAGCGGTTGAAGAGCGACACGAAGTACGCCTGAAGCCCCAGACTGTACATCTTTATCAGCATCTCACACGTGAACAGGGCTAACAACACCTTATTAGCCACATCTGCAGACAAACACATCACAACAAAACAAGCCGTCAGTTCTAATCAAACTTTACTCATTTTTGTTCTGACAAACGTCAGGTGTGTAAAGCAGTGGCGTTCTGCTATGGGGAGTAAAAGTCATCAGTTTTATGTTTAATACTTATTTTAATGTAAATTCATGTTACACTTACACCTAATGTGACACATTTTTCAAAGATAATAAATAAACAAACATCACTTACACTATCAAGAAAACAACAACTAATCAAATTCTATTTTGTACAAGTTAATAGTTAAGCATTTTTACATTTATTCTAAAATAACTATACGAGCACAGTATTAAATTTGATATTTCATGTATATTTTATTTGTTAATATTCAACTTACATTCAACTTACATATATATATCAGTTTATACAATGGTCTGTATAAACACTTAATTCTGATTGGCTGGAAGATGTGCATTAAAAAGTAGTTCCAGTCAGTTTAATCACTGTTCTATTCATTGGGAACGTCTTTAATCGTGACCCGCTGTGAATATAGTATGTAAACACGTTGATAGAATCGACCAGAAGTAATATAGCCTCGGTCGGTGACGTCATCGTCGCGCGCCCGCGTGCACCCGCGCACACTCTCGCGCACCCGCGAGGCTATAAATAGATGAGCCGCAGGTACATCGTCAGGTCTTTTGTCTTCAGAGACCTCTCTGTGTTGGTGTGCAAGCATCTATTTTCTCTCTGCTACAGATCTTTGTTAGGAGTTATTTAGCTTTATACCTGACAGTGTGCAGAATTTTCACTCTTTCTCATCTCTTAACGTCATTTAAAGAGTTCAAAAAGCAAAAAGAGAAATTAGTCAGCAAGCTAAGGGCTGTGTCCCTCCATGTTCTCGACCGATGTCAGAACTGTATACACACGCTTACTGCTTTGTGTGTTTGGGGGAGGAGCATGCGGCCGCTGCATTGGAGTCAGGGGAGTGCGAGCATTGTGAGCTTTTCACTGTTAAAATGCTTCGCGCTTGTCTTGGCTACTTTCAGTCCGCACCTGCATTATCATCATGGGGCTCCCGAATGGATTTGGCTGACGAGCAAGAGACGGGTCCGTCCCTTTCGCTTGCTTGTTCACCAGATCCACTCATTCCCTCGCGTGATCCCGAAGCGCATCCCGGTCCCCAATCTCTTGGGTCTACGGACTTCGAGCAGCCAACCTCTGAGCACTCCTCGCGCGATGATAAATCTGTCGAGGAGCTTCTCGAGGTGGTTACTCGCGCGGTGGCCAGATTGCAGCTTGACTGGCCTTGTGAACAAGAGACCCCCAAACGCAGTAAGCTTGAGGATAGGTTTTTGTCCGGTGGCAGGGGGGAGGGACCTCAACATCAGTCTCTCCCCTTCTTCGAGGACCTCCATGATGAGCTATCTAAATCATGGAGAAAACCATATACCTCTCGTGTCTTCGTGCCTTCGACGTCGACTTTTTCGACTATCGTGGGTGCAAAGGCGCGAGGGTATGCTGAGATGCCCCAGGTTGAAGAGACGCTCGCCAGCTATCTCTCGCCTAGGTCTGCATCTTCGCTTAAAAAACCTACCCTCCCCTCAAAGCCGTGTAGAATAACATCTTCGCTTGTGGGTAAAGCTTACCAAGCTGCAGGTCAGGCAGGTGCTGCGCTGCACACAATGGCTGTGTTACAGGCATACCAGGCTGACCTCTTGAAGGACCTGAGTGTGGGTACAGCGATAGATGAAGCGTTTTCTGAACTGCGCCGAGCCACAGATCTGTCTCTTCGTGCCACTAAGCAAACGGCCCGTGCCATCGGCCGTTCTATGTCCGCTTTGGTAAGCACGGAGAGGCATCTGTGGCTCAACCTCACAGGCATCAAAGATAAAGATCGTGTCTTTCTTCTTGACTCTCCAGTTTCTCCCTCTGGCCTGTTTGGCGACTCGGTCAACTCAGTAGTCACCAGGTTCAGGGAGGTCAAGAAGCATGAGGAGGCGTTTGTTCAGTTCCTTCCTCGCCGCACTCAAGGGGAGGGGCCATCGGCCACCCAACCTCTCCCTGGTCCTTCAAGACCTAGGGAGGTTAAAAAGCAGAGCGTGGTGAGCCGTGCTCCTCCTAGTAAGAACTGGAGACAGGCTCGTCAGGCTCAGCAACCTCCCAAGCCAGACCTCAGGACTATCATCAACAGAAAGAAGAAGTCCTGATGGTCTGGCGCCCAGTCTGGTGGGGGTAGCCCCCGCGGGACGGGGCGCGTATTATATCTGACCGCCCCTTCTCGTTACCCTCACAAAACCTCTCCATCCCCGCCACCTTTGGTGCTTCGGGGGGCAGCGGTTTCCAGCGAAATGTTAGATGTTCCGTTGCTCCCTGCTTTCATCCAGGGCACGGAACATCTAACATCCCCTCAAGAGGAAGTATTAAAACTGATACCACTATCAGAGAGTCTGGCAGCATGGCAACCTCTGCCAGGCATTTCTGCTTGGGTATTAAATTGGATACAGAATCCAATTTATTCATCGTCCTCCGCATTTCAACGCCGTGGTCTCCACTTCCGTAAGACCGGAGCTGATGCATGTACTATCACAAGAGCTACAAACTCTTCTGAGCAAAGAGGCCATAGAACATGTTCCTCTGCCAGAGAGGGAGTCGGGCTATTACAGCAGATACTTCCGGGTCCCCAAAAAGGACGGGGGGTTGCGTCCAATTCTTAGATCTTCGAGGCTTAAACCGTACAGTCAAAGCGCTCAAGTTTAAGATGTTAACCGTCAAGACGGTCGTGTCGCAAATTCAACATCACGATTGGTTCGTCACGATCGATCTGAAGGACGCATATTTTCACATACAAATATTGCCACAACACAGGAAGTTCCTGAGGTTCCATACCAATTTCGGGTTCTTCCATTCGGCCTAGCCTTATCATCCCGCACGTACACAAAATGCATGGATGCAGCACTGGCTCCATTGCGACTCCAGGGCATTCGCATTTTGAATTACATCGACGATTGGTTAATACTAGCACAATCGCAAGAGATGGTGCTTCAATACAGAGACATCGTGTTGGCTCATCTAGTTTCTCTAGGGTTGAGACTCAACACCAAGAAAAGTGTTCTTTGTCCTGCCCAGAGAACGACTTATCTCGGAATCGTTTGGGATTCGATTACGATGCGGGCACAATTGTCCCCCGCTCGAATCGAGAACATTCGGCTAACTATGAGCAAAGTCAGGCTAGGTCAAGATCGTACTGTTCGTCAGTACCAAAAGATGTTAGGTTACATGGCTTCAGCATCCACGGTGATTCCTTTGGGGCTATTGCACATGAGACCCTTTCAGTTGTGGCTAAAAGCCAGGGAATTTCATCCAAGGGCCAATCCTCAAAGGCAAATAAAAATGACGCGCCGCGGGCTTCGTACACTATCTCTGTGGCTCAGACCCCGGTTCCTCGCCTTGGGTCCTACTCTAGGGGCGCCTTGTCGTCGCAGATTGCTAACGACAGACGCCTCCCTGTTGGGCTGGGGAGCGGTCTTAAGTGGTCGTCCAGCTCAAGGGGAATGGGAGGGTCATCAGCTCGATTGGCATATCAACTGCCTCGAGCTGATGGCGGTATTTTTTGGCCCTGAAATACTTTCTCCCTCAGTTGAAAGGCTGTCATGTCCTAGTGCGGGTGGACAACACAGCGGCAGTTTCTTGTATATAAATCCCCAGGGAGGTGTGCGCTCACGCAATCTGAACAAAATAGCGAGGCAGATTTTCCTCTGGGCCCAGGAGAAGTTCCTGTCACTCAGGGCAGTGTACATCCCTGGGCACCAGAATGTGGGAGCAGATTTACTGTCCAGACAGAAACTGCTGACGGGGGAATGGAAACTCCACCCAGAAGTAGTCGATCAGATCTGGACCAGATTTTACAAAGCGGAAGTGGACATCTTCGCCTCCCATCAGACAGCGCAATGTCCCCTCTACTTCTCTCTGAGTCACCCAGCCCCCCTGGGTCTGGATGCGATGGCGCACACATGGCCCAAAATGCGCCTGTATGCGTTTCCTCCAGTGGCTCTGCTCCCGGGAGTTCTAGCCAGAGTTCGCCAGCAAGGGTCTTGCCTCTTATTAATAGCGCCGCGTTGGCCGAACAGAATGTGGTTCTCGGAGATAATATCTCTCCTCAACGGCTCGCCATGGCCGATTCCGGAGTGGAGGGACCTTCTGTCCCAGGCGGCGGGCACAATATTCCATCCCAGGCCCGACCTGTGGAACCTTCATGTTTGGCACCTGATGGGTACCAACTGAGGGACACTGGGCTTTCGCCTGCCGTTATTGAGACTATTCTAAGTGCTAGGGCTTCCTCCACTAGAAAGAGTTATGCCAACAAATGGGGTGTTTTTGAAAGGTGGTGTGTTGTACATAATGCAGATCCGGTCAACTGCCAGATTGCTTCAGTTCTGGATTTCCTGCAGGAAAAATTATCAACAGGCACATGCCCCGCCACTCTCAGGGTTTATGTGGCCGCTCTTTCGGCTTGCCACGCCTTGGTTGACGGGGTGCCACTTGGGAGACATCCTCTGCTCGCTCGCTTCATTCGTGGGGCCAGACGACTGAGGCCTCCCGTAAGAACCAAGATCCCTTCATGGGACTTAGCTATAGTCCTAGAGGGTCTGGTTGAGACCCCCTTCGAACCTCTAGAGTCAGCGTCTGACAAACTTCTGACCCTAAAGATGGTTTATCTTATGGCTGTAACCTCTCTAAAAAGAATCGGGGATATGCAGGCTCTGTCAATATCGCCATCCTGCTTAGACTTTGCCCCAGGAATGGTGAAAGTGATTTTGCATCCTCATCCTGATTACCTGCCTAAAGTACCGTTTTCAGCTGTACATCCGGTCACTCTTGAGGCCTTCTGCCCTCCACCGTTCACAACGCTGGAGCAGGAGAGATCTCACAGACTGTGTCCAGTCCGTGCTCTTCAGGCCTACGTTAACCGTACTAGCCAGTGGCGTAAGTCAGAGCAACTATTTGTTTGTTATGGGGGCAGTAACAGGGGTGCTGCCGCTACTAAACAGACCATGTCACATTGGGTCAGGGATGCTATTGCTCTTGCCTATGAGGCGCGCGGCCAAGCTTCGCCAACGGGTCTAAGGGCTCACTCCACCAGAGGGGTCGCCTCCTCTACTGCTTTGGCAAGGGGTGCCCCCTTACGGCATGTTTGTGATGCGGCAGGCTGGTCCTCTCTGCACACATTCATATGGTTTTATAGTTTAAATGTTCATGCCACTCCGGGCTCTCATGTCCTTGAGTCAACATCACAAGCTAATGTCTAGGGCTTTCTTGCGTTCTTGTGAGCACACCTACACAACCGTAAGGAGTCCAGACACCGTCAAGCACGGCGGCATGGGTATTCTCGTTCCTAATGCGCTAAGCAGCGCAGCATCGATTGTAGCTTTTGAAAGGGAACGTTCCGGGTTACTTGACTGTAACCCTGTTCCCTGAAAAAGCGGAACGAGATGCTGCGCTACTTTGCCGTGCTGATGATGTCCCAGGACAGCTCTTCAGACAAAATATCCTGACGATGCACCTGCGGCTCATCTATTTATAGCCTTGCGGGTGCGCGCGAGTGTGCACGGGTGCACGGGGGCGCGCGACGATGACGTCACCGACCGAGGCTATATTACTTCCGGTCGATTCTATCGACTTGTTTACACACTATATTCACAGCGGGTCACGATTAAAGACGTTCCCAATGCGCTAAGCAGTGCAGCATCTTGTTCCGCTTTTTCAGGGAACAGGGTTACAGTCAAGTAACCCGGAACATTCTATTCACTCTTCTAATCATTTCAAGTTTGATTTTGACATGACAAAGAGGTAATATCTATGTGGATGAGTTTAATTCAGACTTTAATTCTCCTGACGTGACCTGGGGTGTTAATACTCCACGAGCTGCTGTAACTTTAACCGCAGGACAGTGTGACTTTAGAAAGAAAAATGGTAACACTTTACTATAAGGTTCATTAGTTAACATTAGTTAATGTATTAACTAACATGAACAAACAATGATCAATACATTTGTCTTAATTAATAATAATAATTCGTTACATTTATATAGTGCTTTTTCTGGGACCTCAAAGCGCTTCACATATGGAGGGGGAATCTCCTCATCCAGCACCAGTGTGCAGCTCCACCTGGATGAGGCGACGGCAGACATACTGCGCCAGAACGCCCACACACACACACACACCAGCGTACTGGTGGAGAGGAGAGTGTTGAGGAGAATCAGTATATGGGGATGATTAGGAGGCCGTGATGGACAGAGGCCAGTGGGCAGATTTGGCCAGGACACCGGGGTTACATCTCTACTCTTTTTCGAAGGACATCCTGGGATTTTTAATGACCACAGAGAGTCAGGACCTCGGTTTACCGTCTCATCCGAAGGACGGTGCTCTTTGACAGTATAGTGTCCCCGTCACTACACTGGGGCGTTAGGACCAAGCCATAGACGGTAAAAGAAATGGACACAGCGACCCCATGGACTTCAACGGAGAAAAGTGAAGTCAATTAGAAGCACTCACTTCCTGATTGCCAAGCGACTGCGCCGGCTCACACTGAGCTTGACGACGTAGATGTGACGTGAGAAACCTCTCTGACAGTTGTACGTCTTCTAGTCGCTGTGCCGAGAGGAATCTGAATCATTCCCTTCCGAATCTCACAGAGCCGGAGAGCGTGAGTATTAGCTGTCCATGAGAGTCGCGTGTTATGACGCAATCGTTAGCCTATTTTTACAAAAACTGCTTCTACAGGGCCATAACGTAAGATACAAGGTAATGGAGCCTTTTATACATTGTCGTGTTTCTTTAGAAATAAACAATGGACAAATGGAGTCTTTAAACGCCTCAGATGTAAAGTTATTCGCTGTCAAAGTGACGCCAAAATGAATGGGAGACAATGGAGTGCTAACAGCAGGAGAAGGCTTGCTAATCAATGGCGGTCCCCAGGGAGACTTCAGTTGGACCAATCGTGCCGCACAAGCCCTGAAAAGTGAAGCCCAAGAGTCTCGATCGCCCCCCCGGTGGCCGTTCCTAGTATAGCTCATAAACCCCGCCTCCCCGTGTTATTCAACGGCACGTGAGACCAACTAAACAATTAAATTAAACTTCAAATATCCTTTTTCCAAAGATGGTTTCTTTCATTTACGGTAGTTTATCACGCTGATGTTATTTCAAGTGTTTGTTTTTAAAATAAGTTTGTTTTTAGTTAGTTATTTGATGCGGTGGTGTGACGTCATGATTGACAGCTGTGATTGACAGGTTCTCTGAGCGAAGTAGTCACTGAAGCACCAACTGACTTTTTTTCGGGATCTTCGGAGGACTGAGGAGATTGGAGCTTTAAATTTAATATCTAAATTTCTATAATTAATTTTTAAAAAGTGCCGGAGCGTGTGATTGCGACTGATTCTGCGAGAGTGAGGGCGGGGCCTTGATTTCACGGCTCAACTTCCTGCTCACAACTGCGCATGTCTGGTGCTGAAATCGCTTCTGCGCAGACCCAAGTACAAGATGTCAGCGCCATATCGGGACACTGGTGGCTTCACTTCTGACCAATGGAAGAGAGCGAAGGGGCGTCGTCCATCTTTTTTTACAGTCTATGGTTAGGACCCACACAGAGCACAGGGTGAGCGCCCCCTGCTGGCCTCACTAACACCTCTTTTTTCCCAGGAGTCTCCCATCCAGACACTGACCAGCTCAGCTTCAGTGGGAACCAGTCTTGGGCTAAAAATCCAGCTGTTCATTGTTTGTTCATGTTAGTTCACAGTGCATTAAATAATGTTAACAAATACAACCTTTGATTTTAATAACGTATTAGTATAATACGTATAAAGTTATTATATTATTGAAATTAATATTAACTAAGATTAATAAATGCTGTAGAAGTATTGTTCATTCTTAGTTCATGTTAACTAATGTCAACTACTGAAACCTTATTGTAAAGTGTTACCAAAAAAATGTATGTCATATTTCATAATATTTGGGTAGTTTTATTTTTGTACTGTGTGTGTATCTTTTTTCTTTTCTTTTTTTGGAGGCGGCACTGCCTCCGTAAAGCAGAATTGGTTTGAGTGAGTGTGTGCTGTGTGTTCCTCACCCTGGACCTCTGTGAGCCAGTCGGCCTGGTTATAATGCTCAGATGATATCGTGAGTGTGTTGAGGAACACCAGCAGAATCACCAGCCAATAGAAGACGGTGGACTTCACCACAGCTCGGCACCTCCTGCGACAGAACCTGTTCCAGCCACGCCAGCGGCTGCAGAGAAGAGAAGCGATCGACCAGCACTGTGAGTGAAACATCCAGCTCTCATTTACAACTTTTTACAGTCGCTAGGACACATTTCTCAATACTTAGGTCACTTTTTCAAAACTCTTCACGCAGTGAGCACAACAGAAACTGTGAATCATGTATCAGTGCTTTGGCACAAAATGCATTCAATGACGACATCTTTTAAATTACATTAATTATTTTCTCACTTCGACACAACAACCGCTAAAACTCGGTGTAGCTACAGGCTAATCTGCACATGTTAAACTTAGGTTCAAGACAATAACATAATACAAAACTGAATAAGACAGCATTTTGCCATATTTCTACAGTAATATTGTAATGAAATATATTTTGAATCTAAAAATTAAATAGTATAAAAACAATTGGACCAACCACAGCTGATTCCTACTGTATCTGAGTCAGTTGATGGTGTGTATACACATTTTTGTACTTTGGAATTACTCCAAAAACATAAAATATATGCAGTATTGAAGCACACTGCGTCATGTCTAATTCATTCTAGTCACATATATTGCAGTGAATTCTAAACCCTAGAGAGGTAGAAGAAAGAAAGCCTTTACAGAGGAAAACACTGTATAAAGTTGTTAGTGTTTTTTAGGTCATTGTTTTGTGGGTGACAAAGTGTGTGTGTTGGCTGTCAACCTTTGCTAGTGTTCTGGAAGAATGTGTTGATTTGAGACATGTACGAAGTGATTTTGTAGTTGTAGTGCATGTTGAATGTGAACGAGCTGCTGTGCCGAGCTGAACGCTGGGTAGGAGAACTGTGTGAAGAGTTTAGAAAAAGTGACCTAAGTATTGAGAAATGAGTCCTAGCGACTGTAAAAAACTGTAATAAAATGCAACGCCCGTGAATGTGTTAATTTCAAACACAACCGCAAGCATCAAAGCGCACATATACACCGACATGCAAAATGATGAGGTGAAATGACATCAATAAGACAACAGCAAACACACATGCAAGACTGGAGCGGACTTCAGCTCTGAACACACACTGAGATACTGACCTGAACTTCGACTTTGACAATTTCTGACTGAAAAAGTGGAAAAAAAATGGCATCACTTCATGCCACACTACAAGCTGACGAAAAACTTCCAGGTGACAATATTAGAAATAAAGATACAAGAGCTGTGAATTTGTGCATTGCAGATACAAAAGTGCGTGAAAAACTTTGAGCTTTATGATTAGATGTAAAATTGGCTTGCTTACCAGACGCGTCCACAGCAGAAGATCTTCTCAGTCTCTTCTGGGTTCTCCATGTTCACAGATTCGTTCTCGCTTATGGGGACACTTGCTGCAGAGACGCAAGAAATGCACACAAGAGAGCCTTTTACACTACTGTAATGCAGAGCGAGCTACAAGCCATCGAACACGGGGGAGATTTGAGTTTACATCGTTTTAAATAGAGACTTTGGGCCCTATTTTAAGGATCTAAGCGCATGGTCTAAAGCGCAGTTAAAAAGGTTTAAAAACTGCACTTAAAATCCACTTTTGCTAGTTTAACGACGGGAAAAATGGTCGGTGCTCCCGGTGCATGGTCTAAAAGAGTCGTCTCTATTCTCTTAATGAGTAATGGGTGTGTGTTGTCTCTATTCTCTTAATGAGTAACGGGTGTGTGTTGTCTCTATTCTCTTAATGAGTAATGGGTGTGTTTTGTCTCTATTCTCTTAATGAGTAATGGGTGTGTGTTGTCTCTATTCTCTTAATGAGTAACGGGTGTGTGTTGTCTCTATTCTCTTAATGAGTAATGGGTGTGTTTTGGGTGTAACGTGAAATAAACCAATCAGAGTCTCATCTCCCATTCCCTTTAAAAGCCAGTTGCGCTCGTGCCATGGTGGATTCACTATTTACATGGAGGAATTTACAAGCGGAAAAACTGAATGCGTCTCCAGAGCGCAAACGGATCTGCTCGTGTGTGTGTGTGTGTTTGTGTGTTAGCAGCTCTGACTACCTCACACATACGCACTGAACATTTCAAAAACCTTTAGCCTTTTATGTCCAAACCGGAGTCGGACAAAGATCTACATCCAAAATCACATCTACATCCTGCAACAGAGCAATAACCAGGCCTGTGGGTAGTTTGGGACAGAGACAAGTAGGCCTAATGTCTAATAATATGTCATATACATTGAATATATTGTTATTATTATTGCATACTGTTTTATATTAGTGCAAAGAAAATACTTTTTGTTGCCATTTACACTTGTGTAATAGTATAATTAAATATTTGTGCAACACCCTGTGTACTGAAATGCCTTTAAGTTTTTAAGGTAACAAGCCGTGTTTCCATTACCCTTCAAATCGCGCGAATTGAAAACACGTCAATTTCACAAAAACTCCCATATATCACAAAAAAGTGTTTTTTTAGGTGAGGTTGTTTTCCAATTCGAAAAAGGAATATATCTCTGCGCTGTGGAACGACTTATCGTGAGAGGAAACATTTCTAAAAAAGGACTAAAAACGTTTTAGTCGCATAACATCAGTTAATGGAAAGGACGTCATTTCGCAATCGTTTTTAGAAAAATTATCACGAAAGTTTTGCGCAAATCTGTAATGGAAACACGGCTATAGATGTAGCTTGTCTGCCGATGATAATCCTGTGAATGTGTGAGATTCGTTAAACAAGTTTCAAGATTCACACATTTTTTCCAAAAAACTGGCAAAGCGTTAATGTTAGAGTAGTTCGTAGAATGAATAGAGAGAAGGGAATATCCACATATACCTTACAGATATCATAAAGCCCTATTAATCTCAGCCTGGAAAAATTTTAAATCCTAAAGTCCTAAATGTAGATTGGAGCTTATTTAACAAAAATCCCTCAATTGAATCATTTTGAGTCACACTTGGTGTCGTAATAACAAACAATACACCATAAATGTTGCCAGAGGTCTTTGGGATTCGATCTTGCTTATTCTTAAAGACTCATTGTCATTCACTTCCAGTTATTTTACCAAACCAGTCCATTATGCTGCTTGATATTTATTGTATCATCATAATCATAAACACAGTAGTTTGTAATGCAAATAGTTTTACCATTTACTGCACTTTATTTGTCAGTTTTTTTTTACCTATAGCAGTAAATTAATCAGAAATTATTCAAAGAAAATAACTTTACGCATTGCAAAATAAGGTGGATAGGTTATAAATGCTGAAAATGGTTGATTGTGACAAAAATGGTGTATATATATATATATATATATATATATATGAAAGGTACAAGTTTGATGAAGCATGCAAAGATGCAAAAGGTGAGAAACAAGAAATGTACATTTAATGTGAATAGACTTACTAAGAAACACAGTTAAACAACAAACACACGTGTTTACAGGGTTATTTGTGCTTTGTCTCTTACCACTATATTCAATGCATTGTTGTTTTCATTGAATATGTTGTTATGCATATGAGATGTGGGTCACACACACACACACACACACACACACACACACACAGAGCAAGATTTACCCTGGGTCTCAGTGGACTGACTGAACCAGCCAGAGTTTCCCGAGCTCTTCCCGTGGGACAGATCGCCCAGCGTCACCCCTTCAGTTCACATGCATTCAAACAGAGAACAGCTATGAGCATCTACTGCACACACACACACACACACACACACACACACACACAGCACTACAACACCCGAGACAGACCGGCAGAGAGACACAGAGGACAGGAGGCGGTTCGGAAGCATAATAAAGCATGACCAGTCCTTCCAGAAAAATAGTTTTTTTGTGATTGTTGCGGGTAAAAATCCTTGATTATGCGGCCCGGTTTCTTTAAAAATGCGATGGAAAATGCGGATATTTATGCAATTTTATGCGATGAAATTGCGGGAACTTGCAAAAACTGCGGTTTGATGAAAAAGTGATTCCCCAACACCCTGTTCTCACTAGGCTCCTACCTTACTGTAAAGAGTCATTTCTCATTACTTCCTATGATAAGCAAGCATAAACATCACAGAAAGTGCTGGAATATTTCAGTTCTCATCTTGTTTTATTGCAGACCTTAATAAACACATCAAACTTACAAAACATTGATGAGTCGAACAAGTTCTGTAGCTTTACAAAAGGAATATGCTACAACTTCTGTAAAAATTAATAAATGAAATATAAAAAAATAAAGTGTGCTCCTGTCTTACAGCTTTTCGATGATGTTCACGTCGCGTGATTACGTCACTGCATAACGTTCCCATGGCAACAGGGGGAAACGGCGGCTCTCGTGTGAGAAAACGCAACATTTTCAACTTTCTGCTCAGATATATGTGACTTTTTTGCGATGTAAATGCGAGGATTATGAAATCATGCAAGACCCGCATATTTTGCATGGAAATCTGCAATTTATGCGGCGAAAGTGCGGCGTATTTGAATACGACTTTGGCTGATTATGCACTGAATCATGTGATCGCATAATCGTGTTTTTCTGGAGGGACTGCCTAAAGAAAAAAACTGCAATCACACTTTCACTGCACAGCAGAGCTACACATATATTCACATAATAAAGAGGTTGCAAATAATTACTATTAATTATCAACAGTATCCATTATTTTTAAATATGGGTGGTAGATTTTCCATTATGGGGGGTTTCATCCATCAGTAATTTAACTCTTTTTTAATTTAACAAGCATATTTCGATCCGTGCGTTCGGCCTTAAAGTGACAGTAATAAACCTGATGCTGTCCGTCATTAATGCTATTTATTTACACAACAAAAGAAAAGAGAAAGTCATTCAATGCTCTTGACAGATTAAGTTTAATAGCTTTAATAAGGGTTCATAATTTTTAATTTATACAAATATGCAAATACTGTATGTCTGAATGAAGAATGTTGGATGCAAGTTGTTATAAAGAATGCATATATCATTAATTAAACAGAAGAGCGTGTTCTTGTTTCTTTATGAGAAGTGGCTTTATTTAATTTTAAGATAGATAAGGACATGTTATGTCACAGCATTTAAATCTGTAAAGTCTGTATTGCATGTTCAAACTTTAATATAGTTCATATTAACAGGTTAATGGATGTTTTCTCCAGGAGTATAATGAGTTCGGAAATGTATAAAAATGCTTAATTGATGCATTACAATTTGACTAAACCCATTAGATTAAAAAAATCGTATAATATTTAGTTGACTAAAACTACACTTAAACTAAAACAATTGATGACTAAAATATGACTAAATGGCAGTCATAAGACTATGACTAAAACTAAATCTATTTTATTTACTATTTATTTATTTTAATCAAATGTTTATTTACGTAGTTATTTATTTTTATATAAAATAAAAATAATTTTATTTCAACTGTATTAATTTATTATTGTTTCAACTGTATTAATTTAGTGTTTATATATTTATTTTTAATTAAATAAAATTTCAATTATTTATTCTATATATTTTAATCTAATGTATTAATTCATTATTTATTTAAATACAATTGTTTTTATTTTAATCAAATGTATTTAGTTAGATAGTTAATTTAATCTTATTTTATATATTTTAAATTGTACACTGCTTTTCTCTAAACTTTCCCATGGTCCCTCTAGCACTCAAAGCCCCATAACCTTGATTCAATATCTGATTCGCTGTCATTTATTTGCTCTCTTAATATTGGTATAAAATATATTATTTTATGGTATATATATTATATTATTATTATATTATTATAATTAAATGGTATAAAATAAACACAACCCACAGGTCGACTGCTTGAATGAACACACACTAAACTAAAAGTTTTGATGGGTAGAAGCATAAACTGAACGCTTAAATCTGACAAACATGGGATTGTTGTCAACATTATGATTTGATTCCAGTATGATCTTTGGATAGAACTGTTAAAGGGTTAGTTCACCCAAAAATGAAAATGATGTCATTAATGACTCTCCCTCATGTCGCTCCAAGCCCGTCAGACCTCCGTTCATCTTCAGAACACAGTTTAAGATATTTTAGATTTAGTCCGAGAGCTTTCTGTCCCTCCATTGTAAATGTGTGTACGGTATACTGTCCTTGTCCAGAAAGGAGATAAAGACATCATCAAAGTAGTCCATGTGACATCAGTGGGTTAGTTAGAGTGTGTTGAAGCATCGAAAATACATTTTGCTCCAAAAATAACCAAAACTAGGACTTTATTCAGCATTGTATTGTCTTCCGGTTCTGTTGTGGATCCGCGTTCAGTGCCGCCGCTGACGTGTGTCTGGTGTGTGTGTGTATTCTGGTTCTGTTGTGGATCCGCGTTCAGTGCCGCCGCTGACGTGTGTCTGGTGTGTGTGTGTATTCTGGTTCTGTTGTGGATCCGCGTTCAGTGCCGCCGCTGACGTAAGACGCTGCTGACGTGTGTCTGGTGTGTGTGTGTGTGTGTGTGTGTGTGTGTGTGTATTCGGGTTCTGTTGTGGATCCGCGTTCAGTGCCGCCGCTGACGTGTGTCTGGTGTGTGTGTGTGTGTGTGTGTGTGTGTGTGTGTGTGTGTGTGTGTGTGGACACACGTCAGCAGCGTCTTACGTCAGCGGCGGCACTGAACGCGGATCCACAACAGAACCGGAAGACAATACAATGCTGAATAAAGGCCTAGTTTTGGTTATTTTTGGACCAAAATGTATTTTCGATGCTTCAACACACTCTAACTAACCCACTGATGTCACATGGACTACTTTGATGATGTGTTTATTTCCTTTCTGGACAAGGACAGTATACCGTACACACATTTACAATGGAGGGACAGAAAGCTCTCGGACTAAATCTAAAATATCTTAAACTGTGTTCTGAAGATGAACGGAGGTCTTACGGGCTTGGAGCGACATGAGGGAGAGTCATTAATGACATCATTTTCATTTTTGGGTGAACTAACCCTTTAATGTGTGCAAATGCGTTTCAGACAGATAAAAAAATGACGTACGGTTGCGTTTGGCCTCCTGATCTCCCTCTTCATCATTATCAGGGTCGATGTCCTCAGCTTGTGTGATCCAATCCAGATATCCCTTCAGATCCTCTTCAAGCTGCTGTTTCTCACGCAGTTTCTGGAAATCTCCACGAGCCTTGGCCTTCTCGCGCTCCTTGGAGAACTCGCTGCGGTGGACACACACAGACAAACTCATTCACATGAATGCCATTTTTAAAGGTGTATCTATGAAAATGGGAAGTACAGAAACTGATTGTGGACAGCATTTAATAATATAACTCACCCACTGAGAACTCCCAGTACTAGATTAAGGACAAAGAAGGAGCCGAAAATGACCAGACTGACGAAATAGACCCAAGGCAACTCAAAACCCATGGCGTCATTCATCTGAAACACACAACATCTCTCGCATTAACTCACGTTACCGAATCCACCCTGATGTACAAAACTACGGCAACAAAACTGGCCAATTCTGTCTGAGTTTCCTATAAACTCTACTTCAGTCTCAACTGCTAATCATAAACACTGAAACCTAAAAATGATCACATCTAAATTAACGTTTTTTATTCAAGTAAAAATATTATTTGATAATATTGCTGAATCAACCTAAATACTTTGATATATTCCAACAAAATTGGTAATTGTTACCAAAATTGGTAGAAAAAAAGACAATTATTATTTCTGAGTGTCTTGTGTATGAACAGGTGGAGTCTTATCCGGCTTGATGTATTATATGAGCTCCAGTCTGGCTTTAGAGCTGCATATTCTACCGACACCTGTCTCAGGCCCTGTCCACACGCAGACGTGTTTAACTGTAAACGTACACATTTTGTATCGTATTGGCGTTTCGTCCAGACGGATCCGGCGTTTCGGGACACTGAAACCGCTATTTTTTTAAACCGGGTCCCAGAGTGGATAAATCTGAAACCGACACCCTTGCGTTCTCGTGTGTACGGCCAATCCGTACATTTTGTGACACGATGATGTCATCACACCACGTGTCAGCATTAGTCACACACACCGCTACGTCACACGTAGCAGCAACAACAATGGCGGACTATATGCTTGTGTTCGCGCTGCAGAAGATCCTGAGCCTATTCGCTTTACTAAAGCACACTCTTCTGCTCCTGCGGGGAGCAATCTTCATCTTCGCCTTGCTGTCGTGTGGGGTTCGTATCATAGACAGTAAAAGAAATGGACACAGCGACCCCATGGACTTCAACGGAGAAAAGTGAAGTCAATTAGAAGAACTCACTTCCTGATTGCCAAGCGCACTGCGCAGACTCACACTGAGCTTGACGACGGAGATGTGACGTGGAAACCTCTCTGACAGCTGTAAGTCTTCTAGTCGCTGTGCCGAGAGGAATCTGAATCATTCCCTTCCGAATCTCACAGACCCGGAGAGCGTGAGTATTGGCTGTCCATGAGCAGCAGCAGGAGCAACTTTATGACTCTCTATGGGCTTCTCCCTTGACTTTATGCCTCCACGTCCCCCGATTGCCCGTGAGCTTCTACTCCTGTCTGTACGGTAATTTCTCTACTGTGCGACAGAGAGTCGAGTGGTTATGACGCAATCGTTAGCCTATTTTTACAAAAACGGCTTCTACGGGGCCATAACGTAAGATACAAGGTAATGGAGCCTTTTATACATTGTTGTGTTTCTTTAGAAATAAACAATGGACAAATGGAGTCTTTAAACGCCTCAAATGTAAATTTATTCACTGTCAAAGTGACGCCAAAATGAATGGGAGTCAATACGCTGATTTCACGCAGCCGCCATTTTGAAATCGAAAGCGAGGCTCCGGTGGGAAGAACCCTGGAAGTACAGATAAACAACAATGCCTTGGACTACCAACCTGAAGCTGCTGCCGCGATTTACACTATTGGATGTTAATATCCAATATAGGACATGTATATAGTTCATTCCTGCTTCTTTTTTTACTTTCTGAATTATATATTTAAAAAAATATATTTATAAATGAATTTCACTGTATATAGTCTAAAGTATGAAAGAAATGTATGTACATTTTTAGAATAAATAATTTCTACATTAAACACAACAATACTAGCCTAGAAATCTAGACGCACCCTAGCGGCAGCGAGAATTATTTCGCAGCCAGTGTGGTCTAGCAACTCTCCATAGACGTTTTAGCTGAAAAAAACAATTTCTGGTCAGGCCAATCACATCGTGTATAGAGTCGGCGGGCGGGCTTAACACAATGACGGCAGAGTTCATGACGTTCCGCGTGATTTCCATAGGTGATTTCCCTGCTACTTGAAAACAATGAAGATGCAGCGGTCTTTCGAATCGGCTTTGGCCGCGACTCTGGAGGACTTGGAGTTAAGAGAACGTCACTTAAGTCATTCTTAAAAAAGGAAGATGTGTTCGGAGTTTTGCCGACCTGATACGGCAAAGTTTAATATATCAATTAGCTCCGCTGGTGGAAAAACGCATGGCACTCACTCATCCACAACCGTTCGTTGCTCTGGTTGGTTGTAGCGCTATCCTATTGCGTGCAGAGGGATTTTGAAAGGTAACCGTTTATCCCGCCCCTCGGATTGAGTCATGTCAATGGAGAGTTCCCAGACCTAACATCTTGATGTAGGTCTGGCATGCCAGGCTACAACAATACGCCATCGCATTCGTGACTCTCCTATGATTAAAGGCGGCACTTCCGGTTTCATTCCCACCGGAGCCTCGCTTTCGATTTCAAAATAACGGCTGAGTGAAATCAGCGTATGGAGTGCTAACAGCAGGCGAAGGCTTGCTAGCCAATGGCGGCCCCTGGGAGACTTCAGTTTCCGGCTGGTGGATTACACCCTTGGTTCGTATGTAGAGCGCAAGGTTATCGCATCCTCCAAGTCCTCTTCTCCTTGTTAAGTGTATCTCTGTGGCGGAACTACAGCGCCACATACTGGTCTGGCATGTATACCACATCGGTTTCAGTCGGTTTCGTGTGTACGCATATTTCTTGAGACAACGCCGTGTTAACGGAAAAAAATTTAGAACAAGGAAAAAAAAGATCGGATAGGGAAAGCTCTGGCTTCGTGTGGATGCTACTACCTGACCTGCAAAAAGCATTCGATACTGTGAACCACGAGATTTTGATTTCTAAATTACAGTGCATGGGTTTTAGTAACTCAGCACTCATATGGTTCACTTCTTACCTAACAGATAGGACTCAGGTCTGTGATGTTAAGGGGACACTCTGAGTATAACATGCGGGGTGCCCCAGGGTTCGATCCTGGGGCCCCTGTTATTTTTAGTATATATAAATGACATATCAGCTGCGGTGGTCACCGTGATTTTGCCAAGTAAGACATGTTCCTGGATCAACATTCCTGTCCCAAAATGTAGTCCTTACCCAATCCCTAAACCTAACCCTACCCATGAGTTATCCCTAAAATCAGAGGGTAATGATAGGTGGATAACAATGATGTGTAAGTACTTCACCCTGGTTCTAAGCCTAAACTTGACATAAACTGTAAACTTGTCCCTCAAATCTGATTGGTTGATTGGAACGTTGTTCCTGGATCAACAAAGATGTTGATCCAGGAACATGTGGTACTTGGCGAAATCACGTTCACCCAGCTGGTCTATGGTGCAAGGTGCTATTATATGCTGAGGATTCTGCTTTACTTGTCCCAGGGTGTAATGTAAAAGACATGGAAAATACTCTTGGCATAGAGCTTGAGTCTGTCAACCAGTGGCTAGTAGACAATACGCTCTCTATGCATCTGGGCAAGACTCAATCAATCCTGTTTGGTACAAAAAGGAAGTTGGCAAAATTAAATACTTTAAAGGTGATGTGGAATGGGTCTGAAATTGTATCCAAATCAAGTGTCACATATTTGGGTTTAACATTGGATCAATTACTTATAGGTGAATATATTGCAGCCAAGGTTTTAGCCAAATGTGCCAGTTTTTATATCGCAAGACAAAGCTTTTTGATTTCTCTGTAAAGAAATGATTGGTTTTAACTCTGATTCAATGCCATGTAGATTTTGCTTGCTCTGCATGGTTTTCTGGGTTGGCTGTGAAACTTAATAACAAATTCCAAGTGCTGCAAAACAATGTTATTCGGTACCTATTAAAACCCGTACTCATATAGGTAGGGAGGAGTTTACAAGAGCTGGTCTACTACCTGTACATCTAAGACTAGAACAACTTAAGCTGAACCATATGTTTAACATTGTTTATGGTCATGCCCCCAAATATTTATGCTCTAACATAACCCTGATCCATACGCAGCATATTCATAATACTAGGGCCAGCATCTAGTTCCTAGAGCTACTAATCCAATCAAAAAATATTTATTTTATACGGGTATCATGGCATGGAATAGTTTTTCTACTGCTACAAAACTCCTATCATCACGAGGGATTTTTAAAACACAGGTCAAGAAACTTGTATGGAACAAGGTGAATATTTATTGATAAATTAGAGTGTTTACATCGTTTTTGGTTTTTATTTAGTTTGTTTTTACGTGATGTCTATTTACCCTCCTTCTCATACTGTATGTTTTTTTTTTTGTGTGTCTGGTTTGTTTGCTTCTTGTCTATTGTTTCTTGTGTGTAACAGCTAGGACCGTGCTGGAAATAAGTATTTTACTTTAGCATGTTATCCTTTGGATTACTGTTTTATCGTCTTGGATCCAGAAATAAAAATCAATCAAATCAATCAATCAATCTACTTGATTTGTGTTTTTTCTCCACCACTTATAAACAGAGGCTGAAGTTTTCCTGAGGGCTCAATTTTGCCCGTCTTCTGACTTTGTCCCTTCAGGCTTAGAGGGTCAATCTCATTAGCATCTGTTGAGCTCTGTGTGTGTGTGTGTGTGTGTGTGTGTGTGTCATGGAAAAGCGCTTAGAGCGGAAGTGGACACGAACGTCAGTAGCCGCGTTTCCATTACAGATTTGCGCAAAACTTTTGCGATATTTTCTAAACGTCGATAAAAAAACTTTTGCGAAATGACGGCATTTCCATCAATCGATGTTATGCGACTAAAGCGTAATTTTTTCCTCTCGCGATAAGTCGTTCCAAAAATCATGGCAACGGATGTTGGTAGGTTTACGTATATCTCAGCCACCGCACTAGCCATTATTATTAACCAAAGGAGACGTATGCGTGTTATCACAGCATTAAAGCCAAGGAAAGACCCGTATACTGAGAGCGGCTCATATGAGTGTTTCTCACTCCTTCTGCTTCAAGCTCTTGAGAAATTGTGGCATTTCTTTGTTGTTAATAATCCAGTATTCCTGTGATACTTTTGTCTTTTATGAGTTTAATAAAGAACTCTGTCTCGTCTTCTGTCCAAACACACCGCATCATCTTTAAAGACTGATCGACTGTCACGTACGTCATGTGACTGTAAATGCACAAAAACTGTTTGCATTGCAGTTTTGCGAAATATTCCTTTTTCGAATTGCCTGAAAAACCACCTCATGTGAGCGTAAAAACTTTTTTGCGAATATATGGGAGTTTTTGCTAAATTGACATGTTTCCATTGGGCGTATTTTCAATTCTCAATTTCAATTTGCGCAGGCTAATGGAAAGGGTAAACGTGGCTAGTGATATACTACTATTGCTTGAATTCAGTGCAAGTCTCACCCAGTACAGCACATCGGTCCAGCCCTCCATGGTGATGCACTGGAACACAGTCAACATGGCAAACAAGAAGTTATCAAAGTTAGTGATGCCGTTGTTGGGCCCGTGCCAGCCGTCCCGACACACGGTGCCATTGACAGGGCAGTGACGCCCATGACCTGAAAGAGAACAGGGAGCAGAATCCTCTTCTGCTAATGTACCTGTGTGGAGAGAAACACGTGGCTCATTCTCAGGGAAAGGTGCCATTTTTACTGTTTGTATGAACATACTAGTCAGGATATCTTTAAAGGGATAGTTCACCCAAAAATGAAAATTACCCCATGATTTACTCATCCTCAAGCCATCCTAGGTGTATATGACATTCTTCTTTCAGACGAATACAATCAGAGTTATATTAAAAAATGTCCTGGCTCTTCCAAGCTTTTTAATGGGAGTGAATGGCCGTTTCTGTTTTGAAGTCCATAAAAGTGCATCTATCCATGATAAAAGTGCATCTATCCATCATAAAAGTGCATCTATCCATGATAAAAGTGCATCTATCCATGATAAAAGTGCATCTATCCATGATAAAAGTGCATCTATCCATGATAAAAGTGCATCTATCCATCATAAAAGTGCATCTATCCATCATTAAAGTGCATCTATCCATTATAAAAGTGCATCTGTCCATCATAAAAGTGCATCTGTCCATCATAAAAGTGCATCTATCCATCATAAAAGTGCATCTATCCATGATAAAAAGTGCATCTGTCCATCATAAAAGTGCATCTATCCATCATAAAAGTGCATCTGTCCATCATAAAAGTGCATCTATCCATCATAAAAGTGCATGATCTATCCATCATAAAAGTGCATCTGTCCATCATAAAAGTGCATCTATCCATCATAAAAGTGCATCTGTCCATCATAAAAGTGCATCTGTCATCATAAAAGTGCATCTATCCATCATTAAAGTGCATCTATCCATTATAAAAGTGCATCTATCCATCATAAAAGTGCATCTATCCATCATAAAAGTGCATCTGTCCATCATAAAAGTGCATCTGTCCATCATAAAAGTGCATCTATCCATCATAAAAGTGCATCTATCCATTATAAAAGTGCATCTATTCATCATAAAAGTGCATCTATCCATCATAAAAGTGCATCTGTCCATCATAAAAGTGCATCTGTCCATCATAAAAGTGCATCTCTCCATCATAAAAGTGCATCTATCCATCATAAAAGTGCATCTATCCATCATAAAAATGCATCTGTCCATCATAAAAGTGCATCTATCCATCATAAAAGTGCATCTGTCCATCATAAAAGTGCATCTCTCCATCATAAAAGTGCATCTCTCCATCATAAAAGTGCATCTGTCCATCATAAAAGTGCATCTGTCCATCATAAAAGTGCATCTCTCCATCATAAAAGTGCATCTATCCATCATAAAAGTGGATCTATCCATCATAAAAGTGCATCTATCATCATAAAAGTGCATCTATCCATCATTAAAGTGCATCTATCCATTATAAAAGTGCATCTATCCATTATAAAAGTGCATCTATCCATTATAAAAGTGCATCTATCCATCATAAAAGTGCATCTGTCCATCATAAAAGTGCATCTGTCCATCATAAAAGTGCATCTATCCATCATAAAAGTGCATCTGTCCGTCATAAAAGTGCATCTATCCATCATAAAAGTGCATCTATCCATCATAAAAGTGTATCTGTCCATCATAAAAGTGCATCTGTCCATCATAAAAGTGCATCTCTCCATCATAAAAGTGCATCTATCCATCATAAAAGTGGATCTATCCATCATAAAAGTGCATCTGTCCATCATAAAAGTGCATCTGTCCATCATAAAAGTGCATCTATCCATCATAAAAGTGCATCTATCCATCATAAAAGTGCATCTGTCCATCATAAAAGTGCATCTATCCATCATAAAAGTGCATCTGTCCATCATAAAAGTGCATCTGTCCATCATAAAAGTGCATCTCTCCATCATAAAAGTGCATCTATCCATCATTAAAGTGCATCTATCCATTATAAAAGTGCATCTATCATCATAAAAGTGCATCTATCCATCATTAAAGTGCATCTATCCATCATAAAAGTGCATCTTTCCATCATAAAAGTGCATCTGTCCATTATAAAAGTGCATCTATTCATCATAAAAGTGCATCTATCCATCATAAAAGTGCATCTATCCATTATAAAAGTGCATCTATCCATCATAAAAGTGCATCTATCCATCATAAAAGTGCATCTATCCATTATAAAAGTGCATCTATCCATCATTAAAGTGCATCTATCCATCATAAAAGTGCATCTGTCCATCATAAAAGTGCATCTGTCCATCATAAAAGTGCATCTATCATCATAAAAGTGCATCTGTCCATCATAAAAGTGCATCTCTCCATCATAAAAGTGCATCTATCCATCATAAAAGTGCATCTGTCCATCATAAAAGTGCATCTGTCCATCATAAAAGTGCATCTGTCCATCATAAAAGTGCATCTCTCCATCATAAAAGTGCATCTATCCATCATAAAAGTGGATCTATCCATCATAAAAGTGCATCTATCATCATAAAAGTGCATCTATCCATCATTAAAGTGCATCTATCCATTATAAAAGTGCATCTATCCATGATAAAAGTGCATCTATCCATTATAAAAGTGCATCTATCCATCATAAAAGTGCATCTGTCCATCATAAAAGTGCATCTGTCCATCATAAAAGTGCATCTGTCCATCATAAAAGTGCATCTGTCCGTCATAAAAGTGCATCTATCCATCATAAAAGTGCATCTATCCATCATAAAAGTGTATCTGTCCATCATAAAAGTGCATCTGTCCATCATAAAAGTGCATCTCTCCATCATAAAAGTGCATCTATCCATCATAAAAGTGGATCTATCCATCATAAAAGTGCATCTATCCATCATAAAAGTGCATCTGTCCATCATAATGCATCTGTCCATCATAAAAGTGCATCTCTCCATCATAAAAGTGCATCTATCCATCATTAAAGTGCATCTATCCATTATAAAAGTGCATCTATCATCATAAAAGTGCATCTATCCATCATTAAAGTGCATCTATCCATCATAAAAGTGCATCTTTCCATCATAAAAGTGCATCTGTCCATTATAAAAGTGCATCTATTCATCATAAAAGTGCATCTATCCATCATAAAAGTGCATCTATCCATTATAAAAGTGCATCTATCCATCATAAAAGTGCATCTATCCATTATAAAAGTGCATCTATCCATCATTAAAGTGCATCTATCCATCATAAAAGTGCATCTGTCCATCATAAAAGTGCATCTGTCCATCATAAAAGTGCATCTGTCCATCATAAAAGTGCATCTGTCCATCATAAAAGAGCATCTGTCCATCATAAAAGTGCATCTGTCCATCATAAAAGTGCATCTATCCATCATAAAAGTGCATCTATCCATCATAAAAGTGCATATATCCATCATAAAAGTGCATCTGTCCATCATAAAAGTGCATATATCCATCATAAAAGTGCATCTATCCATCATAAAAGTGCATCTGTCCATCATAAAAGTGCATCTATCCATCATAAAAGTGCATCTATCCATCATAAAAGTGCATTCTTCTTTGTCTGAAAGAAGAATGTCATATACACCTAGGATGGCTTCAGGGTGAGAAAATCATGGGCTAATTTTCATTTTTGGGTGAACTATCCCTTTAAGAAACATTATCTGATATATTATGATGTGTGTAATCCAAAATAAATTTTAGAAAGGAGCTTTTATTGTTTGTAAATAATCTAATGAATGTGAGAACACACTGACGCGTGCCGTTTAGATAGCAGGTTGAGTGCATCTTCCCGATGAACAGCTCCAGACCGATGATGGCGTAGATGATGATGACGAAGAGTACGAGCAGAGCGATGTGAAGCAGAGGAACCATGGCTTTAATTATGGAGTTCAGCACCACCTGTAAGCCTACACACACACACACACACACACACATAAACCCCTTATGAAAAAAGTGTGCTTAATTTTGCACTGATAGTGTACTTCAAATCTAAATGAGAAGATTTGATTATTATATGTATATCTAAAATGTATAAAATTAATGAAATAAAAGTCCACTTAAGTGTACTTTTACAACATTTATTTGCCCTTACAGAGGTCATGAAACAGTCCTAAATGACTGTTCTTTATTTTAGAAGGTTCATCTGCCATTATAAAGGTCACGTAACAGTCCTAAATGTTCACTTTCATGTTTCTTAACACACTTAAGTACACTTTTAAAAAGTGCACTTTGTAATAATGTCAAATTAAAAGTTTCACCTTAAAGTAAATTTAAATTATGTTTTAATAATCTTTTGTCATGCTTAAAATAAGTACACTTTTTATGTGTTGAATAGCATGCTAAATCAGATAAAGCACTTGATTATAATTACCTGTAGTGTATTTGAGATTACATTTATATGGTGTATAAAGTATATTTAAGTACATGACATACATTAATGTGCATTTTAGTTTATCATAAATGTTTGTCAGTACATTCGACAATAGACTTTAACCATATTTCAGTGACAATAGAAATAATTATGAAATTACATATGAAGATAAAAGTCCTACTTAAGTTTAAATAATTGCATTTAATATAAATGTAAACTATAATACAGTTTCATTTAATTGTAACTAACACGTAATTGAAAGTCCGAAAACATTATATTTCACTCGCACTCAAGTATATTCTATGGAAGCTTGTTTCCGCCACTGAATAAAAAAATAAAATAAATAATTGCGACATAAGAAGTCAGAATTGTAAGAAATAAAGTCGCAATTGCGAGATATAAAGTCGCAATCGAGATATTGCGAGACTTTTTATCTCACAATTCTGACTTTTTTTCTCACAATTGCGAGTTTACATCTCGCAATTCTGACTTTATAACACATAATTCATCTTTGACATCTTTTCTCAGAATTGTGAGATATAAACTTGCAATTGCGAGTTATCAGACCAATTCTAAGGGGAAAAAAGGCCAACTTTTTTCCCCTCAGAATAGTTTATATCTCACAATTCTTTACCACTTTACAACACGCAATTGCGACTTTATATCAATCAATTCTGACTTTATATCACGCAATTCTGACTTTACAACACGCAATTGCGACTTTATATCAATCAATTCTGACTTTACAACACGCAATTGCGACTTTATATCACGCAATTCTGACTTCACAACATGCAATTGCGACTTTATATCAATCAATTCTGACTTTACAACACGCAATTGCGACTTTATATCAATCAATTCTGACTTTACAACACGCAATTGCGACTTTATATCACGCAATTCTGACTTCACAACACGCAATTGCGACTTTATATCACGCAATTCTGACTTCACAACACGCAATTGCGACTTTATATCACGCAATTCTGACTTCACAACACGCAATTGCGACTTTATATCACGCAATTCTGACTTCACAACACGCAATTGCGACTTTATATCACGCAATTCTGACTTTACAACACGCAATTGCGACTTTATATCACACAATTCTGACTTCACAACACGCAATTGCGACTTTATATCACGCAATTCTGACTTTACAACACGCAATTGCGACTTTATATCACGCAATTCTGACTTCACAACACGCAATTGCGACTTTATATCAATCAATTCTGACTTTACAACACGCAATTCCGACTTTATATCACGCAATTCTGACTTTACAACACGCAATTGCGACTTTATATCACGCAATTCTGACTTCACAACACGCAATTGCGACTTTATATCAATCAATTCTGACTTTACAACACGCAATTGCGACTTTATATCACGCAATTCTGACTTCACAACACGCAATTGCGACTTTATATCACGCAATTCTGACTTTACAACACGCAATTGCGACTTTATATCACGCAATTCTGACTTTACAACACGCAATTGCGACTTTATATCAATCAATTCTGACTTTACAACACGCAATTGCGACTTTATATCACGCAATTCTGACTTCACAACACGCAATTGCGACTTTATATCACGCAATTCTGACTTTACAACACGCAATTGGGACTTTATATCACGCAATTCTGACTTTACAACACGCAATTGCGACTTTATATCAATCAATTCTGACTTTACAACACGCAATTGCGACTTTATATCACGCAATTCTGACTTTACAACACGCAATTGCGACTTTATATCAATCAATTCTGACTTTACAACACGCAATTGCGACTTTATATCACGCAATTCTGACTTTACAACACGCAATTGGGACTTTATATCACGCAATTCTGACTTTACAACACGCAATTGCGACTTTATATCAATCAATTCTGACTTTACAACACGCAATTGCGACTTTATATCACGCAATTCTGACTTCACAACACGCAATTGCGACTTTATATCAATCAATTCTGACTTTACAACACGCAATTGCGACTTTATATCAATCAATTCTGACTTTACAACACGCAATTGCGACTTTATATCACGTAATTCTGACTTTACAACACGCAATTCTGACTTTACAACACGCAATTGGGACTTTATATCACGCAATTGCGACTTTATATCACGCAATTCTGACTTCACAACACGCAATTGCGACTTTATATCAATCAATTCTGACTTTACAACATGCAATTGCGACTTTATATCACGCAATTCTGACTTCACAACACGCAATTGCGACTTTATATCACGCAATTCTGACTTTACAACACGCAATTGGGACTTTATATCAATCAATTCTGACTTTACAACACGCAATTGCGACTTTATATCACGCAATTCTGACTTCACAACACGCAATTGCGACTTTATATCAATCAATTCTGACTTTACAACACGCAATTGCGACTTTATATCACGCAATTCTGACTTCACAACACGCAATTGCGACTTTATATCACGCAATTCTGACTTTACAACACGCAATTGCGACTTTATATCAATCAATTCTGACTTTACAACACGCAATTGCGACTTTATATCACGCAATTCTGACTTCACAACTAGGGGTGTGCCGGTTTCAGAATTGGTGATGACGGTTATGACGTGAGTCAAATGTGACGGTTCGTAACATAACCGTCGGGGGGGGGGGGTTGAATAACTGTTCGTCTGTTATAGGACAGCTTAGTTTGAATAAACAAGCAGACACTGATTAGCTACTGCCGTTTATTTAACATGAACAGCAAGACAACTAGAAGTGAATGTGCTTTCCATTAAATGTATCACACAGTAAACAAATCCTTAACAAACAAAACAAACAAACGTTGCAATGAACGTGCTTTGTTTTAAATAAATCACACACAGTAAACAAAACCTTAACGAAAAAAACTTCGAATGAACTTTGCAATTTAGTCGAGCAAACTGCGTGCCGGTGCGGTGAGACGTTCATGCTCGTGCAGATTCGGCTTGAAGTCGGTCATCCTCGGACGCGGCGCCGCGCGCGCTGTTACAAAAAAAGCCGTGCACACAGCCAAGCCAAATGGGGTCTTGCCGGTCTTGCGCACCGAACGCGTCATTTTTGCCGCGCGCACCTTCTGGCTCGTGCGGACGCGTCGAGTATAAACAAGGCTTTACTCCGTGTCAGCGCGCGCTCTGATCGGTAAAGGTGCACAGACCTCTCCCGAATCATCCCCAGCAGTAGCAGCCTCCGTTTCCCTCTTAAGCTGATATTAGTATATAAACATTCTCTATGATAAAAAATGTTTGTAAAAAATATTTTAATAGCACGTACGGTTTTGGCGGTTATAGAGTTCTAATGACGGTGTTCAACTATAACCGTCGGTCTCACGGTTATATAATAACCGTCACACCCCTATTCACAACACGCAATTGCGACTTTATATCACGCAATTCTGACTTTACAACACGCAATTGCGACTTTATATCACGCAATTCTGACTTTACAACACGCAATTGCGACTTTATATCAATCAATTCTGACTTTACAACACGCAATTGCGACTTTATATCACGCAATTCTGACTTCACAACACGCAATTGCGACTTTATATCAATCAATTCTGACTTTACAACACGCAATTGCGACTTTATATCAATCAATTCTGACTTTACAACACGCAATTGCGACTTTATATCACGCAATTCTGACTTTACAACACGCAATTGGGACTTTATATCACGCAATTCTGACTTTACAACACGCAATTGCGACTTTATATCACGCAATTCTGACTTCACAACACGCAATTGCGACTTTATATCAATCAATTCTGACTTTACAACACGCAATTGCGACTTTATATCACGCAATTCTGACTTCACAACACGCAATTGCGACTTTATATCACGCAATTCTGACTTTACAACACGCAATTGGGACTTTATATCAATCAATTCTGACTTTACAACACGCAATTGCGACTTTATATCACGCAATTCTGACTTCACAACACGCAATTGCGACTTTATATCAATCAATTCTGACTTTACAACACGCAATTGCGACTTTATATCACGCAATTCTGACTTCACAACACGCAATTGCGACTTTATATCACGCAATTCTGACTTTACAACACGCAATTGCGACTTTATATCAATCAATTCTGACTTTACAACACGCAATTGCGACTTTATATCACGCAATTCTGACTTCACAACTAGGGGTGTGCCGGTTTCAGAATTGGTAATGACGGTTATGACGTGAGTCAAATGTGACGGTTCGTAACATAACCGTCGGGGGGGGGGTTGAATAACTGTTCGTCTGTTATAGGACAGCTTAGTTTGAATAAACAAGCAGACACTGATTAGCTACTGCCGTTTATTTAACATGAACAGCAAGACAACTAGAAGTGAATGTGCATTCCATTAAATGTATCACACAGTAAACAAATCCTTAACAAACAAAACAAACAAACGTTGCAATGAACGTGCTTTGTTTTAAATAAATCACACACAGTAAACAAAACCTTAACGAAAAAAACTTCGAATGAACTTTGCAATTTAGTCGAGCAAACTGCGTGCCGGTGCGGTGAGACGTTCATGCTCGTGCAGATTCGGCTTGAAGTCGGTCATCCTCGGACGCGGCGCCGCGCGCGCTGTTACAAAAAAAGCCGTGCACACAGCCAAGCCAAATGGGGTCTTGCCGGTCTTGCGCACCGAACGCGTCATTTTTGCCGCGCGCACCTTCGGGCTCGTGCGGACGCGTCGAGTATAAACAAGGCTTTACTCCGTGTCAGCGCGCGCTCTGATCGGTAAAGGTGCACAGACCTCTCCCGAATCATCCCCAGCAGTAGCAGCCTCCGTTTCCCTCTTAAGCTGATATTAGTATATAAACATTCTCTATGATAAAAATGTTTGTAAAAAATATTTTAATAGCACGTACGGTTTTGGCGGTTATAGAGTTCTAATGACGGTGTTCAACTATAACCGTCGGTCTCACGGTTATATAATAACCGTCACACCCCTATTCACAACACGCAATTGCGACTTTATATCACGCAATTCTGACTTTACAACACGCAATTGCGACTTTATATCACGCAATTCCGACTTCACAACACGCAATTGCGACTTTATATCACGCAATTCTGACTTCACAACACGCAATTGCGACTTTATATCAATCAATTCTGACTTTACAACACGCAATTGCGACTTTATATCACGCAATTCTGACTTCACAACACGCAATTGCGACTTTATATCACGCAATTCTGACTTCACAACACGCAATTGCGACTTTATATCACGCAATTCTGACTTTACAACACGCAATTGCGACTTTATATCACGCAATTCTGACTTCACAACATGCAATTGCGACTTTATATCACGCAATTCTGACTTTACAACACGCAATTGCGACTTTATATCACGCAATTCTGACTTTACAACACGCAATTGCGACTTTATATCACGCAATTCTGACTTCACAACACGCAATTGCGACTTTATATCAATCAATTCTGACTTTACAACACGCAATTGCGACTTTATATCACGCAATTCTGACTTCACAACACGCAATTGCGACTTTATATCAATCAATTCTGATTTTACAACACGCAATTGCGACTTTATATCACGCAATTCTGACTTTACAACACGCAATTGCGACTTTATATCACGCAATTCTGACTTCACAACACGCAATTGCGACTTTATATCACGCAATTCTGACTTCACAACACGCAATTGCGACTTTATATCACGCAATTCTGACTTTACAACACGCAATTGCGACTTTATATCACGCAATTCTGACTTCACAACACGCAATTGCGACTTTATATCAATCAATTCTGACTTCACAACACGCAATTGCGACTTTATATCACGCAATTCTGACTTTACAACACGCAATTGCGACTTTATATCACGCAATTCTGACTTCACAACACGCAATTGCGACTTTATATCAATCAATTCTGACTTTACAACACGCAATTGCGACTTTATATCACGCAATTCTGACTTCACAACACGCAATTGCGACTTTATATCAATCAATTCTGACTTTACAACACGCAATTGCGACTTTATATCACGCAATTCTGACTTTACAACACGCAATTGCGACTTTATATCACGCAATTCTGACTTTACAACACGCAATTGCGACTTTATATCACACAATTCTGACTTCACAACACGCAATTACGACTTTATATCAATCAATTCTGACTTTACAACACGCAATTGCGACTTTATATCACGCAATTCTGACTTTACAACACGCAATTGCGACTTTATATCACGCAATTCTGACTTTACAACACGCAATTGCGACTTTATATCACGCAATTCTGACTTCACAACACGCAATTGCGACTTTATATCAATCAATTCGGAGAAATAAAGTCAGAATTGTGAAATAAAAAGTCGCAATTACCTTTTTTATTTTTCATTCTGTGGCGGAAACAAGCTTACATAATATTCTTTTAAAATATATATTTTTTTTTTAATAGTGTGCTAAAGTGTAGTTCTTTTTCACAGGGACGCACGAGCAGCTGAGTGTGTTATTATCAGCATGTTATTAGGCTGTTCTGTCAGTGAATGCTGGGTAAAGATGTGGACGCACTTGGCACTCCTGAGACCAGACGAAGGGGCCGCAGAACTCTGAACGCTCGTAAAGCCTTGACATCGAACCCGCCTGGCTTTCCACCCGTCTGCCCGCTGACATCTCGATCTTTGGTTATCAGCTCCAGCACAACACTGAAGAGACTAGGAACACACACACACACACACTCATCAGTATTAATGAAATATAACAGAGTGTTATATGTTAGTTCATACAAAGACTCTAAAACAATTTGGTATAGGAACAATTTTCACTCAGAAATTGCTAGTAAATTTCACAAGTAATTACAAAGAAATGGCAAGTAACACATTGGGCTCTATCTTGCACTCGGCGCAAATGACTTTGTACACTGACGCATGTATCATTCCTATTTTGCACCCGCGCAAAGCGGACTTTTCCCTCCACAGACGCACGTCGGTTAACTAAGAAATACACTTGCGCTCCCCGGGGCGGTTCAGCGCAAAGAGGAGGCGTGTTCCGGCGCAAACTTTCCCTCATGCTATTTTGCTGTTCTATAAAACAATTGCGCCACTGACCAGAAAAAACCTAGTCTAAAGTCAGTGGCGCGTTGCGCGTTGTTCATTATGCTATTTTAAGCGCGCATGCTTGGCCATAATGTAGCGGGTGCACAACGCGCATACACTTTGATTATCTCATCAACACAGATGCAGCAGTTTTTATTTTTGCAAATCATACATTATAACAAGGAAAAATATTAACACATGAGGGAAATCATTGTGGTGTCCATGAAAATTTAGTTTTTTTTCCTCCCACGCCTGTTTAACCGACGCTGATTTGTATGGGGATGGGAGAAACCCACCCACGATAGATAGATAGATGGATAGATAGATAGATAGATAGATAGATAGATAGATAGATAGATAGATAGATAGATAGATAGATAGATAGATAGATAGATAGATAGATAGATAGATAGATAGATAGATAGATAGATAGATAAGTCTGATTTGAACGTTGAATTTCTTGTTATTTCTGCATGCATTCTACTTCAGACAGTCAATAAACAGTGCCGTCTGAGGGTGTTTGCATGAGGGTTTATGCCATAGTTTACAGGTGCACGCAAAACACGCAATACAACGTCACTTCTCTGTCTTTCACGGTCCTGACAAGAACGTCGGTCTCCTCGGCTGTGAACCGCTCCTGACGCGCGCCTGGTGAATCCGCCGTTATAATAGCAATCCGCCATGCAACATGCGCACCTGCTCTTAAAGGGAATGTGAGATGACGCTCTGATTGGTTTATTCCACGTTACGCCCAAACCACACCTATGAATAATGAAGCTACTTCAGACCAACCTCTTTTAGATTTGCGCCAGGCGCAAGAGGCATTTATCCCGCCGGGAAAATAGCAACAGCGCCGGGATCCGCCCACAAAGTTACTTGCGCTTTGCGCTTTGACACTTGCGTTTCAGATCGTGCGCTGGGTGCAAGATAGGGCCCATTGAATTAAACTTGAAGTAGAAAACGGTAATATTATTTTCTCTAATCTTAAAGGACAAGTTCGGTATTTTACACTTAAAGCCCTGTTTTAAGATCATTTCTACTTGACTTGGACAAAAACTACGATGAAACTTGTTGGAAAGCATCTTTTGCAGCGATTTTTGTGTGAGCATATCAGTGAACACCCCAGGCCACTCGGTGAGTTTCACGTCTTTGTAAACTAAAGCTTAATGCGTTTTAGGAAGGATTGTTCCAGTGTTTTAAAGGGAAACTCTGGCCTGTAAATCGTTTCTATTATGTTTTAGTTGTTGTTGCTTTTCTGCAAAAATGTATTAGTTTGTATATGTTTTATTCATAGATATTTCTAGTTTGCGGGAGTCCCGGGAATCTTTTTATTTTCCCGCAAACCGCACACACACAGAGAGTGCATTGCCATCGCCGCACTCTTTTGCATTGGGAGTGCACGTCTCTAGATCAAGGGCCCGGCCCGAGGATAGTGACGGGAAATATCGGCCCGCAAGTTCGGGCTCGGCCAGAGAATAAGCTCTAGTTCCTTTGCGACTGACGTATCGATCTTGCCGAATCAGGTACTCAAGTTTTAGAATTGAGTGACGTCAGTGAGGAGACGTTGGTGACATCATCTGCTACATGACATCACTGCAAAAAACTACTTTTGGAACCTTTATTATTAGGAGTTTACTGTGTGTGTTCTTAATCATGTGCAAATAGATATAGACAAAAGAGAAAATGTTGATCTGCATCACAGTTACAGTACAAACTACCAACAAGGTAAACTTTGCACAGATGGTTATGTTGCTTAAGTGAGATGAAAAGCAATATTCAAGAAGTTCAGGAAAGTTACACCATGTCGTAGTGAATTTCATGGCAATGAAAAAAATGCCGATGTTGACAAGTGTGAAAACTATAGTGATGACAAAGACTCATGCTAAAGGCAGTGCAACATTACAAATACTATTTACAGAGATTACAAATGACTCGAGGACATAATATGCGTAGTTTGGGAGAAATAAAATGTACATATGTGGCTTCAACAACTACATGCATTTAAACTTGTGGAGCGCATCTCAAACCACCTCCTGAAATGGTTTAGGTGATCAGATTTAAATTAGTCTCGAACTTGCTTCAGAGGGCATTTGTCTTAGTGACCAGGTGTAAATAGGCCCAATGTCAAGCCAGGTGGGTTTTCTCTTTCTTATTTCATGGATCTGTATGAAATGACACTCATCTGGCGCCAGGGCTTGAGGACGCCACAGATGAGATTCAGCGTGATCCCTAAGGATCCGACATCTACCATGACCTCTGACCTCATGCACTGGGTTCCCTCCCGCCTGACTGCAGTTAATCACATTAAATCAGATAGATCATAGATCAGACATTTGATCAGGTTGTAAGCCCTTGTGAACAGCTTTGTGCCAAAATCCTTGGCATATTTACTAAAATCCTTTCAACAATTACTAGCTGACATGAGCTTCTTCCAACAGAGCTGTTTAATCATGATGTCGATTTGTAGGTCAACCCAAAATACCGGGTTCATTCGCCATCATTAAAAGATCATTAAACACATGCATTTGAAGACCACATTTGATGCTAAACACAAAAGCTAGCTCTTTTAGGTGAGAACTAATGTTTATTAAACCTGTTCATCAGATTAAGTTAACATGTCCCTTCATTAGATGTTGATTAACTGCTTGGTTCACATACACTACTGTTCAAAAGTTTGGGGTCAGTGAGAATTTTATTTTTATTTTTTGGAGGAAAGAAATCAATACTTTTATTTATCAAGGAATAATTAATTTGATCGAAAGTGACAGTAAAGACATTTATAATGTTACAAAAGTCTTTTGAACTTCCTATTCATCAAAGAATCCTAAAACAAACAAAAAAACTGTACAACTGACAGACCAACAACTGTTTCAACATTGATAATAATAATAAATGTTTCTTGAGCATCAAATCCTCATATTATACTGATTTGTGAAGGATCATTTGACACTGAAGACACTGACACTGGTGATGCTGAAAATTCAGCTTTGATCACAGGAATAAATTACACTTTACTATATATTCACACAGAAAACAGCTGATTTACACTGGAGATAATATTTAATACTATAACTGATTTTTGTTGTATTTTTAATCAAATAAGCGCAGCCATGGTTAGCAGAAGAGAATTCTTTTAAAAGTATTTAAAATCGTACCGACCCCAAACTTTTGAACGGTAGTGTATATTACTTTTTCAATGTCTTTATGAACTTTTTGAATCTTGAAAAATTTGGTTGCAAAAATTAGAAGAGAATATTAAAAAATATCTACATTTGCAAAAGTCGTGTGGGTTTGAGTAATTGATAAACTACTGTACATAACTCATGACAAAAATAAGGGAATGCCCGTTTACTCTTTTTAACTATAAACTATAAGATTGCTCATATATTAACTTACAAATGAACAATTTTAAAAATAATTTACTTTATAATTATTTCTTGTTGAATAGTATATGTAACATTATGGCTGTATAAAGCACAAAATGATCAACAAAAACAGCCTTTAATGAATAAATCTAAAACGTAACATGCAGGACTACAGAATAGCACAAACACATGAACATAAATGAGACTAAACACAGAACAAAAGTAACTAAGATAAATGATCATACAAGGAGACTAATCAAAGGAACTGGGAACAGGTGAAACTAATTAGAAACCATGACAACGGATGATAATACAGGAACTGTTGTCGGCCAATGAATATTGGCATGAGGTTACAATGCTGACGCTGATGCCATTCCTCATAGCATCAACACCAAGACGCAGTGTCGAACCCTACATTTTATTCATATATCACCCGGAATCCATCTTAGCCAGCCGATTATTTTAATGAGCACATATGAAGAGTCATGTCACAAACAGCTATGAAATTACGAGACAGGTCACAATTTTGCGAGTATGTTCACACACATGTGACTTGCACATTTGGTACAAGAAAAAAATAAAAGACACTTATAAATATATGTTAATAAACCTTTGTCATGCTTTGAAAAAGTACACTTATTTTGATGTGCTGACTAAGCACATGTAAAGCCTCAAAATTGTATTTTAGATTTAAAGTTAATGTATTTTAAATGTACTAAATTGCAATATCACTAAAAATGTGTAATTACAAACATATTTGAATACACAAATTACAAAATTACATTGAACTATATTAAAGGCACAATATGTAAGATGTTTTCGCCACAAGAGGGCGCAGTTTCCAACAATAACACAGGCGTAGGATGATGACGCAGTGATGAGCTGAATGATGGGACTTGCTGTCAAGCTGATGGATCTAATAATGTTTATGGATGAGTGCAAACATTCATGTTTTTTAACATTACAGTGGTATGAAGCAGGTCGCGATTGCTAAAGAGACAGATCACACGCGAGTCCCGCGGATATAAAGGAATAAGGACATTTAATTCTACCGAACTAAGTGCTGGATTACTCACACAGGTCAGTTTATTAGACGAATTAAACTTGTGAGGTAACGCAGCGCTGCTTCACTCGGTCTAACGTTACACTATCACACTAAACGCCGTTTAAATGTGTGTTGAAAGTTATAATGTTATACTACGTGTTAGTTCGTTTGCTATACGAAACTAGCAGTAACGTTAAGCTAGATCAGCATTAGAATAACATACTGACCATATTCTAACATTTCATCATGTTGAGCTAACGTTATAAAACTAACATTGATTTGTTTTATGTACATTTGCTCACCTGTCTAATAAAGCTGTCGTGACTCGTGAAGCTCTGTCGAGTCCAAGTTAGCCGCGGACGCTAGCTCTCGGCATCTCACAAACACCACGCTGATGTTGATCCTCATTTTAGTTCTCCTTGTTTGTCCCAAAGTCTGCTTGCCATGGTCTATGTTTGAAAGAAACAAGAACTGCGTGCCGCTAAACGTTACGCACTACGCAGTTGTCCACGTCTGTCGCCATGGTTACGTCATGGCTATGGCAGTATGAGCGGAAACCGAGGATAGCGCGGATATTGCGTCATTGACAGGCGACATTTTTTTCCCGGGACGGCCACTTATTTAAAATTGGAATTTCTCTGAAATAAAAAATCTTTGGAGACTTTTGGGATATTGTAAGTACACAACTGCAGGAAATATATCACACTGTGCAAGTGATTTTTGGATATTTTATTACATATTGTACCTTTAAATCTAGCATTAGTTGAACTTGCATTTAATAAAGGTAAATACATTTTCATTTAATTGTAACTAACATGCAATTTAGTGTCTGAAAACAGTTCACACTTAAGTATATTCTTATAAAGTATATTATTACAGTAATAATGCTAAAGTGCACTTCGTTTTTACAAGGGTAACCCTGTAAAGGAATATAAAAACGAACTGTTCACTCACCCAACGATGACGATGACAAAATCCAGCATATTCCAGCCGTTTCTCACATAGGAGTTCTGGTGCATCACCAGTCCATACGCGATGATCTTCAGGAAGGTTTCAATCGTGAAAATGATCAGGAAGGCATATTCTACTGTTTCCTGTGAAACACGATGATAGAACAGAGAGATTTTAGTATCTTGTTTTATTATTTGTGGGACAAGAGCATGTACATAATGTAAATTAATATTAAAGGGGTGGTATAATGCCCTTTTCACAAGATGTAAAATAAGTCTCTGATGTCCCCAGAGCGTGTATGTAAAGTTTTAGCTCAAAATACCCCACATATATTTTTATAAAGCAATTAAAATTGTCACTTTTTGAGGGTGAGCAAAAACACACAGTTTTTGTGTCTGTCCCTTTAAATGCAAATGAGCTGCTGCTCCCGGCACAGAGGGCGGAGCTTCAACAGCTCGTGTCCTTTTACCTCACACAGACGTGCACTTAAAATTTAAAAAACTTTTAGCCTTTTATGTCCAAACCGGAGTCAGACAAAGATGGAGAGACTCAAGAAGAAGTGACAACATGTAGAAGCAACAGGACATTTCTGAATTTCTTAGCATATTCTGCCATGATAATCCATAAATTGGATTCCCAGAGGCGGGGTTTACGTAAATTCTAGGGTTAGTGATGTCACTAACATTGTGTAGTTCCTACCAGCCGTTTGTTGTAGTCCTTAAAAAGCGATTTCTGTAAAAGAAAATATCTCCCTTTGCTTTGAACTTTGAGCGTTGTAACTTTGCAGATGTTGTTTATGCTCAAACAGCAACATTACACACCAACTAAAGTTAGAAAAGTCAAATCATAATCAACCACCCCTTTAACCTGGATTGACCAAAGAGAAAAATCTCAATATGCACAAAATATTCAACTGTTACTTTTGATTTTGTTTAACAAAATGGCAGAACAATGGTACAAAGTAATGTTTGTCCAATACATGTGTTTTTGGTTTCCCAATCCTCAAAACGTACAGCCTTTCTCTTTACCCGTAATGTGTTAAAACTGTTAGTCCATCACTAAATTACAATACACTCAAATAAATAAATAAACAACGAATTCAAATCATCACATCAGATTTTAAAAATCCACCACAATATATGTCCTGTTTCCAAGTCCATGTCCAGATTCAATCCTAAACGCTTCGAAAAGTGTAAAAAGGCCCAATCTGGCAAGCGCTTCCCACAGCCAATTTATAACTCTGCCTAAAACATGCCTTTATTCAGCCTAAATTCAGATGTCCAGCAGCATATAGTGTGTGTTGTCTACCAACAAGCATTCTCACCGCAATACACTCATAAAAACACAGATGATAACAGTTAATAATAAAAAAAAAGACACATGTTGTGCAACATTACTTTACTGTAAGCTATTTTTCTATTTCTAGTGGATGTTTTGCACGATATATCATCGTATTATTGAGTATTGCACAGTATTCAGTGAAGCAGGCTCAGCCATTACAACTACAGTGTGTGTTTGAGTCCATACTTCCCCATACAATAAAGGCAAAAAAGTCAGGCCATGGTTTCATGTGGTTTCACCTTGGTCATTGATGTGAATGTTGTCTTTGGCCGCGTCTCAAGCGACAGGTGACCGGATGACAATGGCTAAGCCACAGCACTAAGAATAGCTACAATGACTAGATTAATCCCATTTGAACAATACAATCTCATTGCTGAACACTGCATGTCTGTGCACAACAAATCAGTCACAGATTTCCACATACTGCAATACAAGGCACTTTTCCAAACCTGGATGTTGACAATGCATTGATTGATTTTACGTCACCCGCCCTCCTTTGTCTTAAAGCACTTAAGCTTATCAAATACTTCAGGTACATTCACTAGCTGTGGACTTCAGTTACATAAGGACCGAGTCTGAGGACAAAGGCAACCCGTTCGATGGCCACAGGGACGCAGTGTCCGGTTTAGTGGGCGGCAGATTTAGACTAATGAGTCTATGTGCAGTACAGCGGCTGAAGATGCTGTAGTTTATAAAATGGTCATTTGCTGAGTGAACTTTCTCTTAAAACACACCTGGACCAAAGTAAACTGATCCCAGAGCTTGTTTCGGGATTTCTGAAGCTCAGTTAAGACTTCTTGCTTGTAGTCAGGTTCACTATATATTTTTGTGGGAATTTTGGGGGGATTTGCTAAACTATACATTTTTGGAAAGGTTATTGTATAAGGAGTCAGAAAATCAATGTTTGCATTTGCCCAGATGTCTATGTGGCGGCCATATTGGATTTTTTTTAAATGGCCGCCGTAAAACTTTAATTTGTAATATCTCGGCTTCTGAATAAGCTGGAATGTTGATTTTAACTGATAAACCCACATTTTCAGGGTCAGGGAATCCAATGGTGCTAGTTAAAAAGCTACAAGACGTTACCACATTAACCCAAAGATGCATAAATGGGTCAAAAATGACCCGGTGTGGTTGTTTTCTTGCAACATCATTGTAATGAAAAGTTGTTCGCATTTAATATTCCATGTTCCTTAAAAACAATGTTTTTTTTTAATCATCCCATTGAAATACATCCACAATATGGGTAAAAAAAAACTACACATCACAAGCAGTTGATCAGATAACTTGGAGTTCCTTTTATTGAAGAGTTTAAAATTAGCTAATGTAAAACGTGGATGTTCTGGAACTATCGACATGCACATTTAGACCACAGTATGATTAAGCAACCTTTTTAATTATACAGTTTCTATACATCATCATAATCATCATCGCTTTCATACATCACGGCTTGGGAATCGTCATCGTTCTGGCACTGGCTGCTGCACTGACACATGTCAGTACAAGCTAAGTCCTTAGCTCTGCAGGAGCACCTCCCAGAAGAGCAGTCAGATATACACTTGCATTGAACCAACTCAAGGATGGCCTTTGGGGCTGGGAGGAAATCTGTGGTCACTGGTTTGAGCATGCCATCTGAGTGTTTGAAGTATCCGTTTTGAAGAGGATCCAGCGGTGGATCCTGCAGAGCAATGGCTGCCTGTGCCCATACTCTTGTTTGGACATGGACTCTCAAGATGTGCTGCTTCAGAGTTCCAAGTGTTGGAGGGAGCTTGTCACTTTCTGCCCTATGTTTGCAGAAGAGATGCCATCGCAGTTGAGGGATTGCCTTGATGTTGATCCCCTTGGGTGAGTAAGCTGCACAAGGATTCCAGGGCTGACAGCATTCCTTCTGTCACATCTGCTTCATCCAAAAGCATCTGCAGAGCTTTGACAATATCTTCATCTGCTTTGAGGTAGACCTGCAGCCAGGTTGCCTTGCCTATGCGGGAGAACCTTCCTGTGTTGTCAGCCCCAGTGAATGCATGGAAGGCTGGCAAAGCCTTTGCTCTTTCTTTACCTAGAGCTCGCCACAGTGGTTCAATCTGCACAACACCAGAGGCCATAGAAATGGATGTGTTCTTCAACATGAGATCATAGTTTGCTGTGACTAGCACTAAAACATCTGTATCTGGTGAGAAAAACACCAACTGTGCATCATGTGGGTTTCTCTGTGAAGCCAGCACAGCCTGGTGGATCAGCAGTGTGTCTGCTTCTTCGTGGTTGTTTTCTTCAAAGACAAGGTCTTTGTTGCTCCTAGTGAGCCCAGAAGCAGATGTGATGATCAGCTTGGAGGATCCCTTGTTGTACTCCAGAGTTTTGGCAGCAAGATATTCAGTCAGATCACTCTTAGTTTTGTCATGGGAGAGGAACCTGCTCATTGGGATGTGTTTGATGCTGGTGTCATCTCTGACTTGATACTGAATAGAAGCGTTTCCTTGTCTTCGTTTATCTCTAGTTGCACTCTTCAGAGAATCTGCCCTATATGTGTCAAACACGAGGATGATTTCATCATAATCTCGTGTTAGTTGCATCAGTCTGTCATTTAAGCAGCCACTCAGATCCTTGACTGTCAATACAGTCGCTGTTTTTTTGCTCAGCTTCTGCACAAGCACCATACCGTCCACCAGTGCTATCTTCCGACTTGGCTGATCAGTAGATGTGAGGTCTGTGAGTCCTGTATGCATTACATCTTGGTGAGTAGAACTTCCAACTTGAGGCAGCTGATGGTCTTCATGGGGCATGTCTTCTTTTGTCAACTTCTCAAGTAGATCGATTAACTTGGACTTGTCATTGCATGGCAGAATTGTTCCATCAGGAGCGAACAGTGCTCTTGGTGTCAGAGTGAATTCATAGTTTCCTATGGCCTCTTTCTGGTTGATGTCTCGATTTGACCTAGCAAGTACCACCAGCCTTGCAAACAGGTCCTTGGTCTCCTTCAGATCCACAGTATTGTCTCTGAGTTTCACTGTAATCTTCTTGTTCCCAGACAGGAACATCTTGTTGTTCTCTTTCTTCACAGGGGCCCAGAGGCTGACATCTCCATTGATACGCTCTGACACATAGTCTTCATACAACTTCTGGCCAGTGACATCAGCATTCAAGATCTGTTGTACATACTCATCTGGGATGTAGGCTTGCGTGATCACATTGTGCAGGTTGTCACCTTCATTGGTAAAGGGGTTTCCATGGCTGAGGTATGGCTGCCTTGATCTTGTCGATTGTATCATGTGCCCTCTTGACTGCATTTGGCCCAAGCTCATGATGCTCTTTGATTCTGTCAGCTTCCATGTCAAACTGACTCTTGAACTCTTTTGACATACGAGAAAGTTCTGGTGTGACCATGAAAAATCTCTGTCTGGCATTGGCATTGTTGGAGATGCCAATGATCCCAGAGCTAATCTTCATTAGCTTGTTTAGGTGTTCGCATGCATGGTCTGCCCCAACAGACACAAAGGGAATGACACTCTTGGTGACTGATATCTGCTCAAGGTGATTGGTCCTCAAGTCATGCATGTCTGTAAAACAATGTTCTTAAGGGATGACACTTCTGATATAGCAAGTCTGAGGAAGAGCCATTGGCTCGAAAAATCACTGCAAATAAAATCTTTCAACAGGAACTTTGCTACTTTGTGTGTGGATCACTCTCAGCACGCATTCTAGTAGGTTAGCAATGTACATGTCTTTGTAATGAAAAGTTATTTCATATTCCAGCTGTTCTTCAAAAAATAAAGATTTTTTATATCACTCATTAAAACATGTAATA